TCATGAGTATATCCATCATGGTTTTTGAACTCAAGACCAAATGCACAAAACCTGCGCAGCATGTCCTCTAATGTCTGGATCATCCTTTCAGCCAAACCATCAGTTTGGGGGTGGTAAGCTGTGGAAAAGGCTAATTTAGTACCCAACATATCATGAAGATTTCTCCAAAATTCAGAGGTAAATTTGGGATCTCTGTCACTGATTATAATTTTAGGTATACCCACATCAGCCATTATCCTATTCCAGAATATCATGGCTACTTCCATAGCAGTGTCATCCTTATGATTAGGGATAAACCTAGCCCTTTTGGAATATCTGTCTACAACCACTAATACTGAGTTATAAGAATAAGCTCCTCCAGGGGGAAGGCCAGTCACAAAGTCCATGTTAATTATTTCCCATTTAGTAGTGGGTTCAGCAATTTTCTGAAGTAAGCCATATCTCTTACCAGTCTGCTTATTTGACTTCTGACAAACTTCACAAGATTTGACATAGTCAGCTACTTGAGACCTCCAGTCTATCCACCAAGCAGTATTCTTAATTCTTTCTACTGTTCTGTCTTCAGAAAAATGACCAGAGTTGACATTATCATGACATTCATACAAGATATTATCTATCTGGGCTTGATCACAGAGTACTAGAACACTAGAGTGCCTATTTCTGAAATACAACAAACCATCCAGGAGTGTAAATCTTCCTTCAGCATATGGTTTGGCCAGGTTTGGGGGAAGACTGGCAATTAATTCAGGTGAACTGTCTCATTTTCAATATATCCACTAGTATCAATCGATACGATGATGAGTCGTAGTAGCTGTCTGACTAAATGTAGAGCAATGTCTAAGTCACACACATGAATACCCAAAATAGGAAAAATATCTTCATCCTCTGGATCCCAGGCAGGGTTATCAGGAGTGTTAGGCAAGGCCCACCTACTAAGTCCATCAGCATTTCTATGCTTGATTCCAGCTTTATGAACAATTGTCATATGTCCCCTATACTGTTGGATAGCAATCTGCCACCTGAGCATATGTCTATTAGGGGTTTTCATGTTCATGAGAGTTTTTACAGCTGTGCAGTCCGTGACCACTACAACCTTAGTGCCTTCTAGATAATAGTGTAATTTATCCAAAGACCAAACCAAAGCTAAGCACTCCATTTGGCTAGCTCCATATTTCCTTTCACTAGATTTAATTTGCCTGGAGATAAATAAAACTGGTTTCTCTACAGGTTTGTCATCAATCTGGAATTCTTGGTGTAAGGCAGCCCCCAATCCATCCAAACAAGCATCTATGTATAAAATAAATGGCTTGGTGTAATCAGGCTGGGCCAACACTGGAGCAGTAGTCATCAAATGCTTGAGTTTCTCATAATCTTGTACACGGGAATGGGTCATCTCAAATATTACATTTCTACTACAAATTTCATAAAGGCTATGAGTAATACTGGCAAAACTAGGGATATGTTGCCTATAATAACTACAAAATCCTAAAAATGATTGCATTTCAGTAATATTCTGAGGCATATCTTTTAGCAATACTGCTGCTACTCTATGTTGATCAATAGCAAGAGTCAAGCCAGAAACTATTCTGCCCAAAGCTTTGAGTTCTCCATACCCAAAATGACATTTCTTGATAGACATTTTGAGACCAGAGGAGACTGCCATTTCCAAAACAAGTCCAATTTTCTCTAAATGAGTATCCCAATCATCAGAATAAATAATAATGTCATCTATGTACACCATCATCCAATTCTGGCGGATAAATTTCCCAAATATTGAGTCCATCATTCTTTGGAAATGGGAAGGAGCATTTTTAATACCAAAAGGCATCCTCAAGTATTCATAGACACCCAAATGGCAAATGATGCGCATATATTTCCTACTTTCTGGTTCAATAGGTATCTGGTGAAAACCTTTGAGAACATCCATAGTAGTAATATACTTGGCTTTAGACAGGTTATGTAGAGAGTGATCTATCCTGGGGATGGGGTAATTATCAGCTTTTGTGTAATTATTCAAAGCTCTAAAATCCCCCACCATCCTGGACTTATCATTATGCCAAGCAATAATGACAGGAGTAGTAATTTCAACTTGCTCATTATGGCCCACCTTCCTAATAACTTTTAAATCCAAAAGTTCTTTGATATGGGTTTCCAAAGCTAACCTGGATTTTGGGCTAGAAGGGTAAGGGGCTCTTCTAAGAGCAGGAGGATAAGGAGGTTGACAAGTCAATTCCAATTTGATATTATGTCCTGTCACATTTCCTATGGGCTCTTCCGTGGTGCAAAAAGCCTCTTTGTATTTATGACAAATTTTTAGAACATCCTGTTTCTGATCCTTATTCAAAATGTCACTCACAGCTGCCTGTGATAAGTATTCTTTATCAAAGTTAATGACTTCCTGTGTAAGACAAGATACTTGGTTAATTGGCTCAGGAATTTTAATATTTATATTGCATATTTGGAATTTCCTTTTCCAATCTCCACCAATGGTGTAGTATCTATTCTTACTCTGAAAAATATCAATTCCATACAGGCAAAAGGTGTCATTTCCCAGAATAAAGTATTCACATAAGGCATCCTGTAATACAACAAATTCCACATTAAGCCTTAATGATCCTTTGGAGTGAGGAAATACTAATGGCATGCTAATCACTCCTAGAGGTTTCATGGAGGAATTACAACTACTAAACTTAGCCTTGGGGACAGGTAAAAGGTAGTTTCTCCATTCAGGGTAACATAAATCAAGAAAATCACTACTGGTGCAGGAACAGAAGGCTCCAATGTCTAACAGGGCTTTCCACTCCTTCCCTTGGAACATGACTGTAGTATAACTAGTCTTACCCATGGTATAACTCATGCCAGCTTCAGGTTTATTTGAAAGAAGCTTGGCATCAGAGATGTGGCCAATTTCCATAGAGGAGTCCCATTTCTGGGGTAAATTAGAATCTCCATGAATGGTATTAATTTCCAACTCATCCCCTATATCAGCTTGAATGACTTGAATTCTGGAATCAGAGTCATATTCAGAATCATCTCTACGTTGATTGGTGTGAAAATCAGAGTTATCAGGTTCTACTTGGATCATATCAAACCTGGAAGAAACTTCTTCATCACTGTCAGGGTCTGCTTGAATATTATTGATCTTTTTCCTGGGATTTGGGCACTCAGGTCTTTTATGGCCCTTTTCCCCACAATTGTAACATTCAGGTATGTCTGTCTTTCTGGGAGCTTGATCAGATCTCTTATTGGAGTTATCCATCCTGGCGGAGCTGTCTGAAGTCTTATTGGCATTACCACTAGTCTTCTCCTCTTTGGGGTTATTATTGGGAGTTTTATTTCTCCTGTTCAAACCCATCATTTCAACAACTTCTTCCATGACCTCAATAAGCTCAGAGATATCTACATCCATGTCTTTGAGTCTGCATCTAACAGCATGTTCCATACTTCCTCTGCATTGACTGAGAAGTTTGTCATTGACCAGTATTCTTGTTTGATTTGTGTAAATACAATCAATTCTTTTCTTTTGAGCAATACACCAATCATGAGGGTCATCTTTTATGGGGTCAAAGTAATCTGTCTCAAATAGTCTACGCATTTTCTTTTCCCAGAGTCTGGTACCATATTTAATTTTAATTAACTCTTTCCAAGTGTCCCAAGATTGTGCTCCTAGGGATTCAGTTTTCTCAATAAACCATTCTAGGGCACCTCCTAGAAATAATCCTGGAAGTCTGACTGTAACTACTTCATCTGGGGCATTATAAGTCCTTAGTATATGATCTAAATATTTAATAAAGCTGATATGATCATAATCACCTTTTCCATTAAAGGTAGGCCAATCTTTTAATGGTGGTATCATTTTATTTAAAGTGGCTAAATCCATAGAGTGGTAAAGGGATTGGGACTTTTCTGGTTTATTCTTATGAAATGCTTGTGAAGATTTACCATGAGTAGTTGGGAAGTGAGGGGCAGCTTCTTTCTCATAGCGCACATGTTTCTCTTCCATATAAGGATTATTAAACCTTGGCTCATTATTCTTAAAGGCAGGGGCTGAAGCTTCAGAAGCGTGTTTAGAGAAGCCTTCTCTAATTAATTCTGATAAAGTATGAACATTGTTTATAATTTCATTCTTCATTTCTTGTCTGAGAGTGGCCATTTGTTCATTCAAAGTATTTTGAATACCTTCAGATCTTATATTTTGTTGAATTAGTAAGTCTTTTATCATATCTAATTCTTTATTGTTAGCGCTCTTAGCAAGGAGAGCATCTTCTCTCATTTTAGATAAAATGTAGTCCGCTGTAGAAGTTAATTCATTGTTCAAATTATCAACAGCTGTAGTTAATTTGGAACAAGCTAATTGACTTTTAGCTGTGTTCTCAGCAATAAGCTTAGTAGCTTCAGGGTTAATGGACAATGGATTGCGGAGCATGTTATCAAATTTAAGAGACAGAGAATCAGAAGACTTTTTATTGTTCCTTGTGTTAAGATCAAAACTATTTACAATGGATTTGAAATTGCTTTCGGCGTTGCTGTCAATCGCCGAAAGATTTTTATTTACAAGATCAAGGCTATCTAATATAGCGGTAAGGATTTTTACATCTAATCCATGTTCATGTAACCCGACTCGAGGGTATGGCAAGCTTTCATGAGCTTCTTCCAGCGGCGCGGGTCGTTCATCTTCGCGTCTTTGTAAGAGAAGTTGGCTCGGGAGGAGGAACTTCTTTTCTTCCCTCCTCCCTCTTGTTGAAGGACTGGGAAGAGATCCCTCTTCGCGGTCCAAGGGTTCCAACCCTTCACGTACTCTTCTACCTCCGCTCGAGGTATTAACTTCTGGAGAGTTCTTTGACTCTCTTGAGCTCGATTGAGGAGAGCGCGGTTCCCCTCGCTGGCGCCTAAGGGTAGATCCGCTTCGAACTTCTTCCAAAGAACTATGTGTTCTTTGACGAGAAGTTGAATTCTCTCTTCTTTCGTCAAGATTCGAACTTCTGGCGATTTGGGGCGTTGCTGGATATCCGCCGAGGAGCTCGACGCTCAAGGATCTATATCCATCGCGTCCGGCGCTTTCTCTACTGAAGTCATGGTAGTCTTCGCCGCGGTTTGAGTCATTCGAGCCGTAGCTGGAGTCTCGCCGGTCGGTATCAAGCCGTTCTCGGCCAATGTCCCCTCGGTCGGTCTCTCGACTGAGACTGGCGCCATCTTTTTCTGGATGGTGATCAGTTTCAGTCGATTGACGCGCTCCTCCAGCTGATTGGCCGCGCCGCGGTCGAGTGGCTGGGGGTAAGGGGCCGTGGAGGTCTGGATTGTTCGACCTGGTGGACATGATGGATTTAAAAATTTAGGAGTTAGTTTTTGTTTCGGAAAGAAAAAAGGTTCCGTAGTATGTAAGGCTAACCTGTGTTAGGACTGTTAGCCGCAGTATCAGCGGTAGGAGTAGTTCCGGCGGCTGGGGTGGTCGCAGCGCTGGAGTTGGAGGTAGCTGACACTGTTGTGGTGTGGTAAAAGAAAAGAAAACGGCTGAGTTCCTCTTCTAAAAAAAAAAGGAATAGAGTGAGAGAAGAAGAAATGCTCGCGTACTTCTAGCGAGTCTTTTGTCTCTGAGTTCCGTTAGAAGTAGGCGTCGTTTAGCTTTGTGGTCTCGTTTGACTGAGTTCCAGAGCAACAGATTGGCTATCCTTTCTTCTTCTCGGATCTCGACGCGTTTGATAGCTCGAGCGCGTTGTTCTTCTGGGGTAAGTAATTCCCAGTCTGAGGGTTGGTAGTTTGCTGCGCGCTGTGCTTTTTCAGACGCAAGGAGAATAAGGTAGTATTTGATTAGTTTAGCGGTTTTTTCCAATTCCACTAAAAGGAAAAAATAGAAAAAATGTATTTTAGTTAAAGATATGTTTTTATGAATTTTTATGGTTTTATAATATGTTTTTATTGGTTTGGTGTTTGGTGAAAAAAATTCGAAAAAAGGTGGGAAAATAAATGTTTTTTATAGGTTTTGTTTATTTTTTAGTAGAAAAATAAGGCCAGGGTTTTTATCAAAAAAATAAAGATATTTCCCGGCCAGACCCCCAATTGTCAGCCTGAGTGATGCCAAGAGCTGAAACTCTTCTAGCTACACTAGGTGCAAGGATGTATTCAGAGGTGTACACGTGTGAGTGACACGTGAAAAGTGGGTAGAAGTGTGGTAATAAAAGAAAAGTAAATAAAAACTGTTAAGTTTTTTATTTACAGAGGGGCCTGAGTTACAGGGGTTTTTAAGGTGCCCTCTAATATCAGGTCCTGGGTTACAGGGGTGGTACTGATGTTCTGGTCCTTTGTAATAAAGGAGTATGCCCAGAAATAGCCTACAACTAAAGAAACAAAGAAATAATACTTACTAGGACTTATCTCTAAGCCAAGGAAGTCTTCAGGAGGGGGGAACTGTTCTTGAAGCGCTCAGAAAGGTGGGTGAGAGAGGTTGGAGGAGTGCTGGGGAACAGGTGTTGGTTGGTTGATGGAAATTCAGGTTGATAACAGCAGGAACTGGGCCAAAAGGCAGGTTGAAACTGGTTATTGGTGACGGTTTATGCTGGTAAGTAATGATGAAGATAGGGAAACAAAGTTCAGGGGGAAGAAGGGGCTCTTAAGTACCCATTCTGGGCCTCTGGAGGCGAACTCAGGAGTCTCTCTAGTTGCTACAACTCTCCTACTAAGCCTATGGGAGCTTTTGATCATCTGTAGCACCTGTAGAGCTTGGTTACAGGTGCCAAGGAGATGATGTAATGCTTGTAACCATGTTTACAGGGTGTTCTGACGAAACTGTAACACTCCTGCAGCCTATGTAAGCACTGCATGATGCATGGGTTGATCTTCAAGAGAGTAATTGTCCCAATTGGGCCAAAAAGGGCCACAGATCATCCCAAACAGTTTAATACTGTAGTCTGTGCTCATGTAGTTAAGGTTTCAATGATGTAAACCTTGTTTGTAGATTTTTCCCAAACTGCATGAACCTTAATTACACATTTAGCCCCCTTACAACATGTAGTATGATGTAACTGGAGGGGTCCACAGTGTATTTTGGCCCAATATCACTCAAGGACTACAAAGTAAGTGAAGGAGTAATAATTCAGGGGTACACTTGGTGAGCTACCCTAGGTTATTTTGCATTTAGATTCAGAATCTGCAATAATATTCTGAGTTATACTTAAGGTTCAGAAGTTATTAGGAGATTCTGGTTAAAATGTTTATCTTTTATTATTTATTTAATTATTTAAATGTTTTTCTGTTGAAATGTTACAATTCAAGTAGACTGTGTAATAATTTCTCTATTATAGTGTTTCAACTTATTTAAATAGTATATTTTATTATTTTAATTGTATGTACATATGTAAGTAATAATATCTCTAAATAAGTAAATGCTATGTTCAGGCTGGCTCTGATTAGTAGCAGGCTGACACGGGTACTGCCTGGCTGCCAGAGATTCTTCCAGGAAACCTGGTTGAGACCAATCAGGTCACCAAGGAGGGTCCTTACCAGCAACCTGATTGGTCTTGATCAGGTTGCCAAGGAGGGGTCCTCTCCAGAAACCTGGACAAGACCAGTTGGTCTCGGTTGAGCCACCGAGGAGTGGGTTTGGGGGCAGGTACCACCTGCTTTTCTTCCCAAAAGCAAACACCAAGTACTGCACCCAGCACCAACTTGGCAGGTACCATAAGGTGTAGGGCGGTACCCGCCGGCGGGTGCTGGGTACCGCCAAACGGGTACCCCAAGGCCATCTCTAGCTCTTAGGACATGTGAGCCCACCTCTTGGTTGAAGATATAAAGTTTATTAAGACATGCACAGATGACTAGGACTCAAGTGTGGGTCCCAGAAATAGCAATCATATTGCTTGACTTCTGGCTTTCTGAACAAAAAAGTCCCACCAAAGATCTTCATCAATCAATCCCATTGAACCAGTCAACAAGCCTAATCTCTTTGTAATAATAATGGATGTCTTTTGGTCTGACGAGGTGTTATTTCTCATTAATCAATGAAGGCTGGAATCTGGAAGATACGGAAAATTTTGGAGATGGATCCTGCTCTTGAGGCTTACTGTGTCAGGTGTGTCATGGTGTGGCATAGGAATTTTGGCACCAATTTTACAAAAGTCATGAGCCAAAGGTGCCAACAATTTCCCCAGGTGGCACACCTTTGCCTGACACAGTGGCGGCACACCCAGGTCCCCTTTTTTGCATGAATTTAATGTGCAGGAGAATAAAAAAGTGTATGGTTGGTGATTCTAAATACTTGGTGAGAGGTTCCCAATGGTCAGGCATGATGGCATGGGCAAGCCTCATCAAAAATTAGATGATACACCTTCCTCCTTGTCTCTCACACCTAGAGAGAACTAACAGTACTCCAATGAAATGTTTAGAGCCCCACACAACAAACATGCATAGGCAGAGGCAATGTGGTTGCTTTCTTGGACAAGCAGGTCTGATGGGACGTTGGATCTGCCTGACTGAGAAAATTTTAGGAGATGTCCCACAGGGATTGGACTGCCCATACACTGCATTTGAGCACTTTTTAGCAAGTTTTTGGCATTTTTTGTTGCTAAAAGCGCTTTAGTGTAGTGTAAATGTAGTAGTGGAGCGCTAACACTACACAAAAAACGGTAGTGGCATGCTAACACTACACAAAAAGGGCCACTTTTAGCACTGCTACACTAACGCTAAGTGGCCCTGTAGTGTAGTTTAGTGTAGCGGCCCACTGCTGACGAGGTACATGTCTTGTCCATTGAAAAGAGCTCAAAATTTTCTGTTGTCAAAGTTCCAGTATTGATCAGGATGTCTGCCAATTGTCATTTTGCAGGTACCTACTGCAGTGCTGTCTTCTTTTGATACTTTTTTAGTTGGTAATTTGAACCTCATATTCTGCATTTCTAGCAGTGGCACACTTATTTGAGGAGTTGACTATCTTGACTTTTACTGCTGACTGATTGTCACAGAAGATGTCCCTTCAGATCTATTTTCATGGTAATGTATCTTTCAGTAAGTGAAAAACCCATAAAAATTGCTGGGTTGCAATACCAAGTGCTGTATACTCTGCTTCAAGAGTAGAGGTTGCTAGTGTGGCCAGACAGCATGAAGGCCATAGATATTGCACAGCCCAATCAATTCAGAACAATTATTTAAGTAGATTTTGAATTTTCTCCACCCCACAATGCATCACAATAGAATTTCAGCTGACTGAAATTGTTGACTGGCTTCACAAATAGACTTTTATCCTTTGGATGAGGAAGGTTATTCACTAGGTGTCTTAAACTTTGCAATGTGTTGGGCCAGGGGATGCTGCAAAGAGTGTAAGTTGATTTAATGCAAACACTGTCAAGGTGTTTTAGCCAAAGTAAAACCATCCCAATGTTTGCCTAAAATTTACATTACCAACTTCTTTTGGATCAGAATCAAAGCATAAGCTGTATGAACAACATCTACTCCTACCATGGAGTCAATATAAGCACTTCATTTGATCTCTGGCGTGCCATAAGACACTACTTCAAGTTTTTTATTGTCTCTGTTGAGTCTTTGATACCAATCCCATCATTAATGTGGATCCAGATAACACCAATCCTTTCTGGATCTTTCAGAACATACAGACTAGTGGTGTCACAGTAACTTTTGGTGTAGCCAAGTTTGACCAAGACAGCCTTTATGTGGAGCTGTCCTCTTTTTCTCTTTTCTTCTGCTTATCTTTCCATCCTCCTTTCTCTCTCTTTGTCTGTCACCCTTGTAAGCCAAATCTGGAAAGGTCTCCAGACCTCCCCGCCCCCTAGCTAGCTTCCACGCCAAACCGCAGACTTGAGTCTCAAGCCCCTCCTTTGGAGGCTCGCTTGGCGCCGGCCTGGCTATACCTGGCCCTCCGATTGAGGGGGTTGTGTTAAGCTAACCCCCCCACACACATCCTCTTAGTTGAACTGAAGTTCTTTTGAGGCGTTCTCCAACGTATTTTCCCAACTGGGTTGAAAACAACTTGATGTCGTAAACTTTCATGTCAGCAACCCTCACAAGAACTCCCACAAGGAAAACCTGTGTGTTGGGCAGCCCGGATAAAAAATCTTCCTGATAACTTCCACAAGACTTAGAAATGTTTAAATGATATACACAAGTACGGCTCCTTCGGTCGCTCTGAACCCTGGACACGACTGCCCAAGACTCTGCAGGAGGCCCACAGGATGGTGTAACTCAGCTGCGCCGGACTTGCACGACCATAAGTCCTGGAAGAAGTGTCCACGTCAAAATATGTACTGCCAAGAGGAACGTTTGTCTTTGCCATCACTTGCCGAGATCAAGGGATCTCAGGCTCGGTGGGCCGACCTATCAGGAGGGCACTTCTTCCAAACACTCGATTAAAAACATGTTTTGGGGAGCATTATCGCTGAGGGAAGTAAATAAGGATGTATGCAGCATGTATTGATCTCAGGCCGTGGTTTGTGTCTTTGTCTTCCCAAACAAATACACCGCTTGATTGCGGGAGTTGTTTTTTTTTCGCTTTCTTTTGATGCGTAGTGTTCGAAGAAAGTGTTTTACCAATTGACTGTCGTAGTATCTCCCTAGTTTTGGATAGGGGTAACGACTGGTAGCGGTCGGAGGAAAGTAACCCGTAAAGCCTTTTTAGAATTTCTACAACCATTACTCGCTCCCAGACAATCTCCAAATCATGGCTGTGCCTGGCGGCAACATTTCCGCTGTTGGCCGGCAATTTCAACAGACCCCGCGCGGAATCAACTCATCGAACAACTTCAGAGGGCGCATCTTAGAATTCAAGGTGCTCAGGTATTCAGTAGTAGTTACGAGTATAGACCAATTGAGATAGGGTCCAGATTTTCGGTTGAGCGGCGACAGTCCGTTAAAAGCTTCGAAAGATTCAGGCCGACTGTGACTACTCCTGACTGCTCTCCAATCTCAAACAGCTCATGATTTAAGAAGTTTGAAGACAACTCATGAGGAGATCGTATTGTATCTATTGGAATTGTATAACTGTTTCTTACATCGCAGCTATGGGCGAGGGTACGTATTAAAATATTCCTCTGCCGCTCGCTGAAACCCTCGTCACATGCACCTTGCCATATCAATCTTGATTCTTGCGCTGGAGCGTCTTTACATAGATTTTCAGGTAGGAATGCCGGATGACAAGACCGGCAGACAGGATTGATGAACATCCAAATTCTAAAGACGACTGGACTGTAAGCTCCTCAAATCTTGTTTCAGACCTGTCGCTCCTACCGACGACTATGTACCTTCAAATAAGATGAAGCTGGTCGGAAAGAACAGGGCGGCTACCAGACCTGTTGTAAGCTGTATGGACGCTCCTGCTCGATGATAGCTGCAGATCGGCACTCTCTAGTGTCGGCCAGTAGGTACTAATACCTACCGCTGGACCTGAGCTGGCTTGAGCAATCAATTAACCCACTCTTTCATAGTGGCCATCGTTCAGACAGGTTCGCTAGAGAAGTTGCATGCACCGAACGAGCCTAGAAATTCAAACCGTCTTACCTCAACTGACCTGCCACTTTGTGGGTTACAGTCCCGAATTGTGTATCGAATTATGTGTCTTCTCACTCTTTTTTTCGCTCATTCATAGATAGAATAGACAGTGCAAGGCTTGATGAAGTTGCTCTCGAAATCAAAACCACGGACCGCTTCAACTGCCAGCACCACTTGAGCTGAACTGAGTACAGGCCTATATAAGGATCTTACAAGACTCCATTTTTGAACCTCTCCTCCGTCCATCCATCGTCATCAACAACTTCATACGCTCTCTGTCAAACCCTTTAATTATTTTTCTTCCGTCATTTGTCATTTGTTTTCGCCCATAATTTTTTAAATCAGTCGACATCTACCCGGTCTTAATTTTCTGGTCCGTAGTTCTTTAATCCCGTGCAGCTTCTACTTATCTATCAATGTACCCAGAAATTGCGCATCCCGCCATTACACTGCTTCCAAGTCAGAAGAAAAGCTGATGTTATTTCCGATCTCTTACTTCCCTGTCCTACCACAGACCCCATCAATTCGAAACTCACTCTCATTAATTTACTCGTGAATCCAGAAACTTCCCTACTCCTCAGCTGACTGACATCTCATCCCGCCCACGTTTTGGGAACTGACTGTGTTTTTTTCTCTCTCCTTTTCAAGCCCATCAGGATCAGTTACTCAGTTATCAAGGTTCTCTGTCGCGTGCCACCATTCTCGAATAATAATCTTTCAGTGTTGAGTTTTTTTTTTCCTTCCTGTCAAGCCTTTCTATTCGCCACGCCTTAACCGACTCCTCTTTTGCTAAGAGTACGATCGGCTAATATCAACTCTGCATCTTCGTTTGCGTTTATTTCTTTAGGAGTAATTTGTTTGGTGAGTGTCCCCAACTACACATTAGCCTTTCTTTCGCCTTCAAACTTCTTGATCCGCATGGTGATGAGGGAGAGCGACACCCACTAGTGGGTAAACCATCTTCTCGCACCGAGAATCGACGCGACAACACGATCACAATATAGGCTGCTGGTGTACACAACATACAGCGTCATCCAATCTTGACGACTCGTCCCAAGCGCAAAGCCTTGCAACTTTCGGCCCGATGTTTATCTTTGTACAACAAACATGCGCCAGCCATCTGCTATGAGCGCCAGTAGACTGATCTCGTCAGGCTTTCACGGCCCAGTATACCCAGAAACATATCTGGAGCTTGTCAAGCACAACAAATCAGGGTTCAGCCTGCACCATCATAGCGCTCAATCGCATATACTTCACTTCAAATGGCACAGATTTGGCCGGGGTTGAGCTAGGTTTGATGTGTATAAGAATATGTAAAGGCACCTCGGGGGTAAACGATTTGCCTGATTTACCTGGCTCGTTCCATCTGGCATGGCCATAGACTATCGGCTATATATCCCAATCGACGTCGACAGGCTAATAATGTGCCTTCCGCTGCCTTCGGCCATGGGTGAATTAATTATGACCAGCCTCCCCTGTCTGCACTACAGATTTTTTTGTTCAAAGTAGATCGAGTTGTAGGAGGCATGCATACCTCAAGACGACTTGCGTGCTTGACCAGATTATTTTAATCAGGTGGTCGACCTGGCGACCCTTGAACTGTTGATCCCCATTGGGCTTTTGGATTGGTGACTGAGCTACATAGCTAAATATCTTTTTAAGCTCTTCATCTGAACACCACTCAGCCTTGCCCCAGTTGCTTATGACACCTTGTCCATCGACTCCACCAGACTTGCTTTGATCAACTTCCTTCCACTTTTCAAGACCAAACCGTCCCACGCGTCTGAGGAGAGCCCTTGCTGGGCGCCGACCGAATGTATGTCTCCGCCCGTGAGCGTTTTGCTGTGCAAGCGGTCTTACCCTTCCCCTTTCCTCAGGCAGAGGCAGGCAGACGCCGCCGGGAGCTGTCAAGCAGCCTGGGCATCGCTGACCGTGATGCTCACCGATCGAGCTCCTAAAACCTGTCAACAGTATCCGTAACACCTTTCTAACTGTTTTCTACTTGAGACTAAGTGGTTCGCGTTGGGAAGGATATTCCTCATTTGGCCTTCCTTGGGATTGGCCGGTGCATTGCAGCTGTTTGTGACTGATCGGTTTGGCGCTGCCAATCAGCTGTCGAAATCCGTTGTGCGCCCGTCGGCGAGTCGGCAAGCTCTGGCAGGATACATAACCCATATCTCGCTCGCCCATCCCGCCAACGAGTGATTTGCTACTTTTGTCGCACACGAGACTTCCCTTAAACTGTGTATCTGTTTTTGTTGATGCGTGGCGCCGCTTCCCTCGTCTTTCTCTCTCTTTTCTCCTTTACATAGAGAACTCCAGATGACCAGACTCCGAAATTGGAAAGCATCACGACAGCTTGCCGGAAGCCGTGCTACGTAGTCTTAAACTAGGCTGGCTACATAATGGGGGTACACTACTTCATCTGTACCCATCCCACCTCGTTTGATGTCCCCACTTGACAGAGGAGTATTGTTGTACCAGTTGATGCAACACCCAGGTTTATTTGACAACGGACCCGAGTTGTCGATGACCCAACTCATCCGACTCAGGATCTCTGCAAACTTTAACTAATTGTTGCACCCACCCGTATAACCACCAGAGTCCATCATAAAGAAACTCGGTTCCTTTTTGGATTGACACTCTGCCCTTCACACTCTACTAGTACTGCTGACCCAACAAACAACCAGTAATCCGCTTAAGCGTGCTATTAACCCTAACCTCAGTGTTACATATCCTCCGACTGAGCTCAACACCCCCCAGCAGCTTCCAAGTTACCGCCTACTCTGGAGTCAGCTACATAAATATCAGCTCAATCTTGAACCCAATTCCCCCCATTCCCTCCAGTCTCAACCACTGTCTTGGAACGATCTTTCCCCTTGTCCTGGCGCTACCCACTGCTTCCTCTTCCAACCCAATTTAAAGATTTATTCTCTTCTTGCCTCTCTTCCCTCTCTTTGATCAGCTCTTGTCCCGCGATTGCCGTGCTCTGTGACCAGAACTCGTGAGCAGCTGTCTCACCTTTCCATACTGGGGCCATATCCTTTTTTCCAAGTGCTTCTCCTCCCATACCTAGCGCCCGTCTTCCAAGCATCAAAAGACTCAAGAGTGATGATCATCTGACAGCTTCCCATTGGTTAAATTATTCCGTAGACTTCGGAGAACTCCAATCAGCCCCAAATCTTAAACAAAAAACGAAATTATAACTCTGGTCAGTCACAGTCACCCTGAATTTACTTACCCATTGCAAATTCAGATATCCCTCATCACTCTGAGCACATCGCGACATATTCATCAAAACTCAAAAGATAAAATAAACACCCATACGCTGACGCCCCCCCCCTCTCCCCTCCCCTCTCGTTCTATGCCAATCTCGATCATTGTATATTTTCTGCGGTCTCCACTCCCGGCACAACTCCCGACCTGGCTGGCTTCCTTTATTCAACTCTGATTACACCCCTCACTGCTCGCAATCTCACCCATCGGTCACCTTTCAGAACGCCGCCCGTCTTCTTCAAAGTTCCGAAAAACGCCATCTGTGGGTTTATCGGCTGGTTCAACTGATTCATTCAAAATCTTGCTGAGAAACACTCACACGCCCTCCTCCTGTGTCCCGATCTCCGTTGCTGATTCTTTATTCCAATTCTAACAAATTGTTGTGATAGACCTCCTCCATCGGCCTTTCTCACACAGTTTCTTGTTGCCGGGATCCCCAACTCAAACCACTCATTTGATTCTTATTCAATTTCTTCTGCGGACTAGCGTAGGTTCATTTCTTTCTTCCTTCCCTTGCCTTTTTCTCGCAGCTCTTTTTCTGGGCCACACACTTTTCTATCTATCCTTCCCACGCCCCGGCGGTCATCTGCCGTCACTCGGCCCGGCGTTTGGCAGTTTCATCTTCTTCCCATCATAACTCAGAGTTCGGTCAATTTTTCGACTTTGCCGCATGAACTCGGATGTCTAGTAAAAGACAATGCCGATGAACGCCTCACCACCGCTGGGCTACATGCCGCTTGGCTGATGGATTGATAGGATGCATACATACGTAGCGCCATATATCGTGTTGCAAGATATAACCTTTTACTCACGCATAGAATGAGCTTGCTTCTACTCAAATCTACATGCGCTACCCTCAGTTGCTCTCCTTTCCAATTCCTCCAAGTCCCTCCTAGCAACCATGCCAATCTTTTAGCCTTCTTCTCTCGTCTGTCAGCCTCCGGCAGGTCAGCGTCCACAAACTAAATATTCACATATTCCTGTCAATCGGATTGGTGTGCATTCACCCTTGAGTGATCACCCACCGAGCCGGCTGGCTGAGGCGTAGGTCTCAGCTCATCAGACATATCCCATCTCACAGTTCATCCAACCAGTTTCCTCTACCTTCCCTGGCCAAGCCGAGACTTGCTCATGACTGACTTGTCGTACATAGCAGTACATACTCCTGTTGTCTGTCTCATCTACTGCACCCTCATTTTCTCCCATCTCATCAGTCCGCCCTAATCCTTCCTGCGTGCATCAGGATCACACCCAGCTTACTCATACGTATGCCTAGAGCGCTGGTCTGACTCGATTGCACGCACTTCCCTTGGATGCCCTACCCATCCGCGTGCTCACTCTACTTTTTTTATATAAATAAATCTACATCCTTTATCCACATCCCCCCCCCTTCCTCTGCCCTTCCTTACCTGCTTCCCTCCCTGCAACCATTCCCAACGCTTCACTCCTCAGTTTCACTCCCCCATAACCCACAGCGGTTTTACTTCCTCACCCGTACATATTGCTAATATACGTATATATATATCTTGTCGGCCGTGCCGATTTCTTGTCCTCCAGCCAACTAATCAGTGCGCCACTCACCCGGCCATCTGTACCGTATCCACCCTCTGTAGCGGTTGTCACAGTTGTTTGAACGACCTCAGCGACTTTTTCACAGCCATCAAGCTGAGTTCGGTGTACGTCTTGCTCCCCCCAACTTCCTACTTCGTCCGTTTCTGAAGATCCTTGATCAGACTCAGCTTGTAAGCTGTATATCTGCTGCAATGGCCAATCGGCTATCAGCACTCAAGCCGAACTTCTTCCACTCTATGTAAACACTTTGTCTCACTTCCACCGCGCCTCATTCCTTCCTCGTCTCGTCCTGCCTCACCTTTGGCTTCTCTCCTTTTCCTTCCACACCCTTGCATACACACATACACTGTCAAACACAAACACGCACACATATGTATATATAGCTGCATGCCAGTCTCTACCCAGGCCTATTATGGGCCAACCACAGCTTCCTCTTCGTCTCACTGCTCTACAGCCGCAATACACCTATCAGGCCTGAATAGAAAACCAACTCAAAAGACTCTCCTTAACTGACCTAAACGTGCTATTGCTTCCCCGCCTCTGTCAATACTTTCTCTTTTTGTCATTTGCAATCTCCTTATGAAACAGCCCAGGTAATCTTTTTTCCTCCAACCAACCACCTTCATCAACAATCAATATGCCTTCGATCTACAACTCCGCCCGCCCCTCAAACGGCACCCAGGCCATCTCCAAGAAACGACCTTCCCCGACCTGCGACGACCGGGATGCGCCCATGAAAAAGAGAAGCGCCCCACTCGCACCCTCAGGAAATTTTGTGCCGATCAGCCCCAAGACCCGTCACCAAATTCTCGAGAAAGAGATGCAAACCCTCTTCGAACTGGAATACCAGGAAGAGGTGGTCGAATACATGCATGAGATGGATGTAAGTGCCTTGAGCTGTTTGTTTTGCTCACCGCTCAATTTCTGATCCTATTGCTTGTTGGCTGCTGTTTCCATAGACCCAAACCAGACCAGTCGTCGAAACTATCGACCTCCAACCTGAGCTTCAATGGTACATGCGGCCATACCTCATCGATTTTTTGATCGAGATTCACCTTCAGTACCGACTCCGTCCGGAGACGCTTTACCTTGCCGTCAACGTGATTGACCGGTATGTCTCCAAGCGGGTGGTATTCAAGAAGCACTACCAGCTTGTTGGATGCGCGGCCCTCTGGATTGCGGCCAAGTACGAAGACGCCAAGGAGCGAGTCCCTTCAGTCCAGGAACTCAGCACTATGTGTTGCGGGGCCTACGAAGAATCCAGCTTCCTCCAAATGGAGGGTCATGTGCTCAGCACCATTGGCTGGCAACTCGGCCACCCCACAGCAGAAGCTTGGCTCAGATTGTTCTCCATCGGCGCTCACCGTCAACAAGCCGGTGACTTCGAGGCTGCCTCCACTGGTCACCTCGCCCGCTTCATGATGGAGCTCACTCTCTTTCACCGCTCATATGTTGGCCTCAAATCTGCCGACATTGCTGGAGGCGCACTGCTTCTTGCCCGTTACATCCTCGGCAAGCCCCGCAGGGTAAGTTTTCTTCTTACCTGGCGTTATAGCACCAGGCCGCAGAAAAATTGACGTGATCACTTGATGTTGCAGGCCTCTGACGAAAGCGAAGGAGTTTTGGCCGTTGCGCGCTTGCTTGACTCCCATCTCGGCGAACATATGTCTGCGATCTCAGCTGTTGTCATGAAGAAATACGCCCATGGCCACTTCTCACGTGCGTCGACGATCGTCAAGGAATGGTACGGTCAAGGTCACCGGTTCGGTGGCCCGGAGACATCTGCCAGCTTGCCTGCACACATGCACCATGTTGCCCAACCGACCCCAGTCAGCAAGCTTTCATCATCCAGTTCGACCACCTCGATCTCCTCCGCCGCCAGCTCCAGCCGTCACTCCCAACTCACACCGGGCTCGTTGTCCTCGCTGTCGCTTAACTCGAGCCCGACCAGCTCGATCTCCTCTTACCCATCGATGGAGTGCCACTCCAATGCCTCGCCCTCTAGCAACTCTGCAGATGACGACTCTCGTGAGAGCTCTTTGATGTGCTCGCCTCAGCTCGCTTGTCCTAAGAAGAGCGCCCGTTCAGACATCTGGCCTACTTGTTCCTCCGACATGAACCAAGACAACAGCGTCTCCTCGGTTCAGATGTCGAGGAACATGTAAGCCGCTTGACGGTCTCCCTCTTTCTTTCTCCTCAACGATTACGGACGCCCCTACGACAAGCTCCGAACTGTACAACATCTCTTCTCATTCCCTTTTGCTTTCCATTCATCCTTCAATAAGAACGGAATCGCGTATGTGAGATATTAATGTTTTATGCGACGTGCCAACCTCCTGGTAAAGAGTTCTTTACAACATCCGATGGATATTTTTTGTCACCCTTTTTTTCCAGATCTTTGTTCCATTTTCTTTAGTAATTTTCATCCTGTTTCGTCCAAGCCGTTTCTTCGTTTGGCTTTTTTTTTTTCTTCTCCTTTTTTCTTCTGTTTGTTTTGTTTTGTTTTCTTGGCACTCGACAATCCCCCATTTCCTAACCCAAGTCTGTTCTTGATGATTCCTTAACTTCCTTCCGCACTTCTTGACAGAAAAACACAATAACATATTAATTCTCACCTTCTTTTGCGTCCAGTTTGTGCCATCCTATTTACATCTTTTTTTGTGAAGATGTACATACAGTTTCTTGTAATTCTGATCCTCCTGTTTCACCACTTGCCTCACATTCATTTGTGTGAACAAAGTCCAATGAGACTTCGGGTTCTTTGAAGAGATGTCATAGCTCTCTCTATGGCTCTTCTCTAGGTTAAACCAGCCCAGTAAGCTATGGAGAAATACCCTGCAATATCCTCCAACTTGGTGGAATGCCACCATGCTAATGATGGAGGCATTAGTGCAACTTTGCCAAGCCCCTACCAAACAGGTCATGCAGATACATGGAAAAGGGATTTTTGCCTTCAGATAGAAAGAATTTTTTTTCAAAGCTGAAAGTGCTGCTATGGATATCATTTACCATAGTTATTACTATATTGAGCCAAAAAGGATGTCCCCTCCTTGAAGTTTTTTGTCTTCTTTTGAGTTTTGCTGTTTTTTCACAGATCATACTTTGGCAGCTGTTGAGAGTACCTGCCACACTTCATAACACACCTTCTACACTGCCAGCCCCCAGCGATGCAGGAGGAGGGTGCAGTACTTAGACAGCAGCATCATTGAAACACTACATATACTGTGATTAATTAGGAATCATATTTGGGACCAAATCATTGAAATTGGAATTCAATCCCATTTACAGGTCAATTTAAGGCTGGCTGCTGGTGCTGGCTATTCTCATTGGTTGAAAGCCCACCTGAGAAGTTTTAGTTTTCTAATCTTAATCTCCAAAAAGATGGGTGGTTAAAATGGGAGAGGTATACCAGTTTGATCTCTGAAATGGAGACAATAAGTGATGGTGGAAGAAAAGACTGACAATGGGCCATTCAATGCACCACCAGATTTGCCATTTTGATAGGTTGGCAGTGGAAAGGATATGCTATTTTTCAAGGGAATTCCAGGGATTTTGATTGAAAATTAGAATGAAGATTTGCGGCCAGCATTGTAACCAAGTGAAGCTCTCCAGTTCAATGCCCAAACTGGGCCTGGAAGGGATAATCAAAAATGGAAAAAATATTACAGGATGGTTGCAAACTCACTATTAGAGGCTGGCAAGAAGTTTTAAGGCATGAAATTTGCCACAAATCACATAATTCTCAGGCATGATATTTGCTCAGGATGTAAACGGGTCGGGTTCGGGCCCAAAAACAGTGCCCAAACCCGACCCGACACCCATGTCGGGTTGGGTCGGGTCGGGTCAAACTTGAATATGTGCTGCCCAGACCCGAACCCGTCTTGGGACTTTTCGGGTTCGGGTCGGCAGTTTGCATGCCGGGTTCGGGCCGACCCGACTGTTTTAGCCTTTGTAGAGCAACTCTGACAAAAACTGACCTGCCCGACTATCAAAACACCTGCCCGAACCCGACCCGCTAAGCTTCCGGGTCGGGTTCGGGTCATGTGATTTTCTCACAAAGTCTGCCCAAACCCGACCCATGACCCGTCGGGTCTCGGGTCGGCTTCGGGTCGACCCGACCCATTTACACCCTGAATATTTGCCCCAAATCAAATAGGAATTGTTATTATTACCTATGACATCAATCTGAGGTTATCTTCTCCTTCCAAAAGAGACACAAAGCAGCAAATAAACTATGGGAAGCTCCAAAATATTCATGTTAATCTCCCCCAGGCCTCTGTTGCTAAACCCAGAAGCATCACTGAACAGGTTGGCAATACATATCTACACCTAGCATGTCTACATCATACAGAATTTCAGAGCAGGTATTATACACAGAAGCTATTTGACAGACCCCATGTCAGACACTAAGACACTAGTCCAGGTGTATACAAGAGAATGTAACCCCCTAGGTTACATAATAATCAGCATTGTTCTAGTTATTCTTTAAATTTATATATATTTGCCCTTATTTAAAATAATATTCATGTTGAAAAGGATAATCATCTATTGTGTTTATTTATCATAGAGATTATCATCCTGTGTATCTCTGTTGTGGATATTATGAAATAAGAGAGATCTTTTAAGTATGTATTTGTATCTTCTGAAATAAGAGAGACATTCAACTCATGTACATTTACCATGTTTTGAATATCCTGACACCTTTCCCCAAAGAAACAGTGTAACAATATGGGGACTCTACCAGCCCCATTAGCAGTTTGGCCACTGCTCTGTAATACTTAAGAGAATGACTCTTTCTCTGAGATTCATCCCCCTGAGATTATTACCATACAAGCCCGTCAACCTTACCTATTCACATCAGTATATCAAGTGAGTGGGGCTTTTGATAGTCTATGACATACTACATTACAACCTTTTTACTTTACACTGTTTTTACTAGTCTGGATTCTGGAAGTTATTCTTAGTAACTTGAAGACTAGGAACACTTTTTGTTATTTCTCATGAAGCCCAGCAAAGTGAAGCTCATTCCAATTTTGTCCCTTATAATTATAAGGAGCTAACCCTTCTTTTACCCTAAGCATAGAAGCATTTTTATCTTTCACCACATTGTACCTTACAACAATATTGTGACCCTTTCCCACTGAGTCATGTATCACAACCATAGTGTGAAATCTTATCTAATTATCTCTGAATCACACATGAGACAGGTGCTGACACCTGCAACAGGGGGTGTGCTCTGTCAAATTGGAATGATTTGTTGAATTTGGACTCATCTCAATACGTAATAAGAGACATTTGTAAATTGATGTAGGTCCACAGTGTCCAGCTACTACAAATGTCTGAGTGGAAAGAGACCTTTGGGGATGGCTTATCCTTCATGAGTTGTAAGAAAAGCCAAAATGTTTAATCTAAGAAAATTCAGCTTCTTGTCATTCCATTGCTTGCAATACCAAAAAAAATGGTTGAAGGTGCAGGCAAAGGTAGTAGCTGTTCAAGATATTTCGATAGCTTTGTGCTTTGGGATTGATTTGATCCAGGCTAATTTTTAGACTGGGAGAATTTCCTCCCAGTTGATGAAATGGGTGTACCTCATTGACTGGGATAATTTCCTCCTGGTTGATGAAAAATACTCCCTGTAAATGAGGTATGACCAACGTGGAGGAAACTGCCAGACCTCCCCTTTCAGAGGAGGATTTGCTCTACCAAATCAGCCCCCCCCCAAAAGAAAAACTCCCAAACTGGGAGGCACAATTGCAAAAATAACCCCCAAGAACCATCCAGTGACAGAGTTGCTTTCCTTATAAGGTCTGGGATTTGATTTTCCAAGAACCTATTTTCAAAGCATGAGAAATATGGGTTTTTGAGAGCTTGTGGCTGAGATGTGTTGGGAGAATCAGATTGCTTGGGAAATGGATCTGAACCTTTTTTGTGGACCCAGATATACTCCCCATTTCCTTCCCGCATCCTTGATGGTAGAATCTGGCTAGAGTGTTTTTTTTTTGGGTGGGTTTTCTTCCTTTCAACCACTGAAACCAAAAGGTTGGACAGCCTGAATTTATGCCATGTGAGAAACCTTCTGGCAATCTACCTGGCTGCATGGCCTGCAGTGCCAGGAAAACCTACTGTGGAAGTCTATGTAGCTCCTGTTACTCCAGAGTGCATCCTTGAACTAGCATCTCATATAAGTTATAATAAAGTGGGTGTGAGCTTTGTGGGCTCTGGGCATATCAGCTTATAAAACACAGGCGGTGGAGATGCTATGTGCAAAACTGGCCTAATGGGCTCAAAAATCAAATTTGCACTATGTAGACTCGGGTCGACTGCGCGCGGTGCTCGGGCTCCACGCGAGCGGACGTGTTGGGTTTCGGAGAGACCTGCTGGGATATCCCACGCGACCAACTCATCCTTCAGCCCCTTGTTGTTTCATCCCCCACACCTCACACAATAAGACAAACATCCGAAAACCAGCATCAAAAGCAAGACGAACGACCAGATAACAAACAAGAAGAAACGACTGCCTACATACCTAAGGGACGTCCGATTCGAAATCGTCAAGCGTCTTTGTCTAGCCTCCTACTCGTCAAAGAGACCATGTCCAACTCGCCCTCCCAGCCCGGACCAGACGTCAAGCCCGAAAAGTCTTCAAAAATCACCCTCAAGATCCAGTGTAAGCTACCATTATCAGCCGAACAACTCCATTCCGATATTGTTAAAGACTCATGAAAATCTCATTTGCCGTCCATGTATATCGCCCAAACACCACACCGCCCTTATATCGTGCTGCAACCTCAAAAATATCGAGACTAGTTGTGAGTAAAAACGATGATCCAAAAAAATTATTGAATGAACGAGAGGAGAACCACTGATCCACTATTCCTTATTCGGTCTTGATCGTCTCTTTCTTATAATAATTCGACCAGCCTGACGGCGATGAACCATTGATATTGAGAGTCAAAACAACAACAGCATTCCAGAAGATTTTCAATGCGGTTGCAGCCCAGAAGAACGCCGCCCTAGGTTCATTTCGGCTGCAGTATGATGGTCAAAACCTGTTACCCAACGAGACTACGCCGGCTGATGTGAGCTTTCTTCTCTTCTCTTTTTGTTTTGTTTGTTAGACTTCTTTTTCACTGATTTTATGGGATCGCTTCGCATCGCTCTCATCTGCTGATCGGTGTAGTTGAATTTTGATGACGAAGAAGTCTTGGATGTCAGTCTTCCATCATACTTCTCCTCCCTGATCTATAACAGAAGAGTTGATCACATCAAACTGATTCCCATTCATGACCCTATCCCTTTTCTTTTTCTCATCCCAAATCCAGTATTTCGTGCAAGCAATAGGTGGATGATCTACTGATCACAACTCTTTAGGACCAAAAGTGAGAGAAAGAAGAAAAAAAACAAGTTAAAATCAAGTGCTGAGGGGAAAAACAGTTCAATCATCTACTATACAAACTTTTCAACAAACAAACATGAGCATAAAATAGTAAACAAAGAAGTTGGAAGAAACGAGATATCCAAGAACAAATATTCAAGTAAGATCAAGTGACCAGAAGAATAAATACCCTAGTCTAAATTGTACCTCAACGAATGAAAGAAGATGCTCCAAAGGAGACCAGACTACCTTTTCCACCCTCCCCCGTTCCCACTCTCTTTTCCTTGGATTTCCTTTGCTTTGCTTTTATTGAGTTATCCGAATAGTTTGTAGACATCAGCTCAGCTCATCTTTCTCTTCTCACGTTTTTTCCTATGTGTCTGATCATCCCATGAATTTATGACTGTGTAGTAAGCCTTGGAACAGCTGAGCCTCTATAAAACCCTGAGATTGATCTGCAAGCTATCATGAAGACTGCCATTTCATTGGAAGACTTGCCCAGCCCCTTCAGCATCAAATTTGATCTGAAGTTTTTTTTTTTGGTGAAAAGAATGATGTGTTCCTAATAATGTGTGGTGAGATGTGCCCTAGATATGGTTTTCTTCAATAGGTGTGTGGCTGCCCACAGGAACAGAAAGTGCTCACTTCTCCCCCATCAGAGTCTACTAGTACATAGTCAAACTTGGAGAGTTGGGGTACCAGCAAGTGAAGTGAGTACATAGTTGAGATTGTACATATGCTTCATAGTTCAGAATGAAGCATCAAATGATTGTGGTTATCATTTCTACCTATCCCTGTTTTTTTTATGAGAATTCAGCAGTATATAGCTTATTTGTGTAGATATAGACCACCACCAAAAGAGTGATATCAAATGTGAAGTACAATGTGAGTTGCTGTGAAATGGGTTGATGATATATGCATCTGCACTTTTGAGAGAGTGGGCCGGTCGACTCTTCTTGGCCTCGTCCCCACCCAGCAGAACTTCCCAAGAACTCCTCAAGAACCACAAGAAAATGCCAGCGCAGGCCATCCAATCGAACCATCCCGGTCCAGCCGCACAAGTCGTCGAAGCCCGTAAGAGACGAGTAAGAGAACCGCAACAGCAGTGAGAGATGAAGCCCATGTAGTCACTCCAAACTCACATGCTGCATTTCATATCTCTTTCCCCATCAATATGCTCTGTCTGAAAAAAAGGAAAAAAGCTGGAGCTGACGAGATTGATTTTACTTTTTGATTAATGTTTTTCAGTGGCTCATCAAGGTCCCCTGTACCTCGGCGAACATTGGCCCCGGCTTCGACGTTCTCGGGCTTGCATTGTCCTTATACTTGACTCTCGACGTTTCGTTAGATCCGCACTCGACTGACCCCAACCTACGGGTTCCCAAGCTGGTGTACGATGGAGGGTTTGGAGCCGCCGACGCGCCGACGGACCCTTACCACAACCTGATCACTCGGGTGGCGCTCTACGTGCTTCGATCGCATTCGATTCCGGCCTTCCCGTTCGGCCTTTCGATCAAGATCAACAACGAAATCCCGTTTGGACGGGGCCTGGGTTCCTCTGGGGCAGCGGTGATCGCCGGGGTCGAGCTGGCCAACGCGCTCGGCGATCTGAACCTGTCCACCGGACGCAAACTAGATTACGCGCTCATGGTCGAACGACATCCGGATAACGTCGCCGCAGCCCTGCTCGGCGGCTTCGTGGCCTCCTATCTCTCCGAGCTCTCCCCCGAAGACCTCCAGGCTGCTTCAATACCCCTGGCCGAGGTCCTCCCTGAATACCCTCCCGACGCCGGCGAAGATTGGGGCCGCGAACCTCCCAGAGCTCCCGAAGGAATCGGCCATTACATTCGTCTCAACTGGGCTAAAGAGATCAAGTGTTTAGTCGTCGTGCCTGAATTCGAGGTTTCCACAAGCAAGGCCCGAGACGTCTTGAAAGAATCTTACTCACGCAAAGACATTGTGAGCTCTCTCTTTATCCCTCAAATTCTTGCCAGAAATCGGATGAGCGGATGAAAAAATTAGTTTTGCTTAGCGGGATGTGACTAATGATTGAATTGCCTAAATATTCAGGTCTTCAACTTCCAAAGACTCGCCGTGTTGACTACTGCACTTGGCCGATCACCCCCAGATGCAAAGCTTATATACCAAGCCATGCAAGACAAGATCCACCAACCGTACCGAAAAACATTAGTTAAGAACTTGTCGAAATCGGTTCTCTCAAAGAAGAAAAAAAAAAAAAACTTCCTTCACGCTAACACCAGATAATGATTTTTTGTTTTTTTTCTCATGAATTTTGAAAACACTCCAGATCCCAGCATTACCACGACTAACGCAAGAGTTGACGCCGGAGAGATATCCGGGGCTATTAGGGATCTGTCTGTCGGGCGCAGGCCCGACGATCCTCTGTCTCGCCACCCATAACTTCGAGGCCATCGCGCTCGAAATCATGAATGTTTGGAAAACGGAGGCCAACGCTGATTGTTGGTGGAAAGTCTTGGAAATCAAACAGAACGACTCGGACGGCACGGATTTCGGCGGCAGTTCGGCGGCCGAAATCAGCCCCCAATAGGCCTTCTGTTCTTCATCCTTGCTTATCATCCCCTCCTCCTCTTCTTTTTTATCATCTCTCTTTTGGTTGTCTCATGTTTATCATCGCTTCCTGCTTAGAGATCGGCTCTCCGGTTTCTTTGTCTTTCATATCCTGTTAAGCACCAAGTACTTCCTCTGAATTCATTCAACATAGAAGAAAAACAAGATTTAAAGTTGATCGCCGTCACACCGAATAGACCGGTCAAGCAACTGAGTGGTCGCTCTCTTAGTTGTTAGGATATGATACCGTTCGTATTCATGTGGTAGAAAAACATTCTTTGTTCCATGCCCAACAACGGATGGGATAGAGCCGCTAAGGTCCCACTCAAACAAGGTGGAGGCCTTTTCCATGCTCTTCTCACCACTGATTCTCATTCGGCAAGTTTACGTGTCCCCAAGTTGGCTTGTCACCGGAACCGAAATGGACCAGAGCAAGGAACAGCAGGAACTTCCCCGGTGAACCCTCCCCCTCTGGACATGAGGCCAAGTTCGAACAGCCAATGTCCCAAGCCTTCCCAAGCTCGCTGCGAGAGATCAGTACAGCGTTTCGCGGCAGTCACATAGGTAAGGACTTGTCCACGCTTGGTCTCATTCAGCTTGTGATACATTCCAGAGTGTTTATGTACCCACCAGACTCGGACTTTCACGGGCGGACTGATGGAAGGGGCCAGTGGGTTTATTTTTCCAAGTTGTAACGCAGTTTGATTGTTAAGTATGAGGTACCAGAGTACTTAAGCACCCCACATCGTTCAACTTTTGTTCATAATATGAGGGAGGTGCTATTTGATTCAATGCATGTCTTGCCTTTTCCCTCTCGACTGACTGACTCTCACCTCCTGGGCCAAGTCACACTCCAGGTACATAAGAAAAGAAACCAAAGCTGGGATCGTTGTGGACCAGTTCAGCTCCCTTTAATGAACATAAGCTTCCTCTTTCGGTGTCGCCAAAAGAAGATCACTTATACTATGTCAGAGCAGACTTGAGCGTCAACAAAAAAAATGAACGGAACCGCTTGTTGCATTGTTTTCGAATATCTTGCAGGAGTCATTTGGTGAGGAGAAAAGTCAGAGGATGGTTTTGAAGCATCAAGTTGATCAGGTTGTATAACTTCCCAAGACTTTAGAAAGGAACATAGAAAATGAACTTCGCGTTGTTCGTGGATTTTGTCAATACCGGTAAACATGTGAATAGAAGGAATAACTCTTGAAGGAAAATAAATTTTCCAAGTGGTGTATGTAAAAACACCTTGAACTCATTGGAATTCCCTTTCATTGCTAAATACAAAGGCTTGCGAGAAGCTATGTATATAAACTAGAAACTCTTCTTCTCTGTCAAATGAGCCTGACAATATGTTTTTTTTGGGGGGTTTTCTGGATCACCAAATGATGCTAAAATCCAGAGTGCCATTTGTGCTGTTATGTACAAAATTTGAATGTGCAAGAGAGGTTTATAGGCATGGCAATCATGTGCTGCTCGATTGGTAGTGATAGTATGCCATCCGCAGAAGAAAGCCAAAATTCCTACTGCTATCCATCTTTGGGGTATAAGTTTCTCCACTGCTGGGTGCCTGAAGAAACAAGAGGACTACTTCCAAGATGTTTCGCTGGAGCGCTAAAACCAACGATCGGCCCCAAGCTACATACTCCGTATCGCAATTCAGCAGACAAAACCTACGACATCCACAAGACCCCTGACATTGCTGGATTCTTGCGCTTGGTTTTTCGCTGACACAAGCGGCATCAACCCACATCCACCTGCTGCAAGACGGCAGATGGAGTTCTTTATTCCATGAGACCACCATACTTCCTATGAGCTCCCATCCCCTTGAAAAACAAAACACATAGGTTTAGTCATCGAGAGGAATCCCATGTTTACAACATACTTTCTGTCAGACACTGAGACACTAGTCCATGTGTCTACATGAGATTGTAACCCCTCCAGGCTACATAATAATAAATATCATTATATGTAGGGTCTTAGCTAATCGACTCCCAAAAAGTGGAGGATCGACTCCCAAACCCCGAAACCCCCGGAATTTCCACCGAAATCCCCGAGGAAAGGGAGTCGATCCCCCAAACCCGTCAGCGGGTTTGGGAGTCGAAAACCCGCTAATTTTAATAAAGAAAAAGGCCAACCCCCGAAGGGGTTGGGGGTCGATGTCCCAAAACCCACTGGGTTTTGGGTGTCGCTTACCAAAAAGGGCCCGCAACGGCCGGGAGGAATCCTCCCGGCCGCTGATGGCACACCCTCAGCGGCCGAGAGAAACACTCTCGGCCGCTGAGAGTGTACACTCTCATCGGCCGAGAGAAACACACTCGGCCAATGAGAGTGTACACTCTCATCGGCTGAGAGAAATACTCTCGGCTGATGAGAGTGTACACTCTCATCAGCCAAGAGAAACACTCTCGGCTGATGAGAGTGTACACTCTCATCGGCCGAGAGGGGTACCATCCGGTCCAGGTTAGTTGGCCGGGCCGTCTGGGGTACTTCTCCTCCATGACCGAGCGTACACCCTTCGTCATGGAGGAGTGAAACCTCCATGACTGAGTATGTATCCTCGGTCATGGAGGATTTGACTGCTCCAAGACCGAGGACACACCCTTGGTCATGGAGGATTTGACTCCTCCATGACCGGGGCTGGTCATGGAGGATTTGACTCCTCCATGACCGAGGATACACCCTCGGTCATGGAGGTTTTGACTCCTCCATGACCGAGGATACACCCTCGGTCATGGAGGATTTGACTGCTCCAAGACCAAGGATACACCCTCGGTCATGGAGGATTTGACTCCTCCATGACCGAGGATACATGTTTCTCTCAGCCGCGGCCGAGAGTGTTTCTCTCAGCCGATGAGAGTGTACACTCTCATCGGCCGAGAGTGTTTCTCTCGGCCGCTGAGGGTGTGCCATCAGCGGCCGGGAGGATTCCTCCCGGCCGTTGCGGGCCCTTTTTGGTAAGCGACACCCAAAACCCAGTGGGTTTTGGGACATCGACCCCCAACCCCTTCGGGGGTTGGCCTTTTTTTTTATTAAAATTAGTGGGTTTTCGACTCCCAAACCCGCTGACGGGTTTGGGGGATCGACTCCCATTCCTCGGGGATTTCGGTGGAAATTCCGGGGGTTTCGGGGTTTGGGAGTCGATCCTCCACTTTTTGGGAGTCGATTAGCTAAGACCCTATATGTATTCTTTAAATTAATAATGATTTACCTCTGTACACCACGGGTGCACGGAGACGTTCTCAAGCCGTCTGGATTGAATGGCTTGAGACCCCCTCACCAATTGAGTCAAAAACGACCTGGAGGCGTCTTGACGTTTTCGCCTGGAGGTCGACTTGGAGGCGACTGGCTAAGCGCCCCGGACGTTTTCAAGTCGAACTGAAAACCAGTGTGTTCTAAGGTTCATGAAATTGAACCTTGGTATGGTCTTTGAGTCGTCCTCAGAACCAAATCAGAGCCAATTTGGTTCTGAAGACGACTGGAGAACCCAAATGGTTCTTGAGAACGACTCAAGAACCATTGAGTGCACCCGTGGTGTACATATTTATCTCTCTCTCTGGATAATTAATGTACCTCTCTCATGAAAATAATAATCAAATTGCAAAGGATAGTTATCTCTTGTGTGTATCCAAGAGATGGTTATCCAGTTTATCTCTCTTGTGTGAATATATATTCTGTTTATCTCTCTTATGGTATTTTCTGAAATAAAGGATATTCAACACATGTACATTTATCATGCTCTGAATATCATGACACTTTCCCCCAAGGAAAAGTGTAACAATAAGGGGACTGCACCGGTCCCAGCAGCAGAATTGACCCCTGCTCTGTAATATTTAAGAGGATGCTTCTCCCCCTGAGATTCATCCCCCAGACAATATTTCCATACAAACCCAAGTGCCTTACTAGTTATACAAACAACTTAGTGAGTGGGGTTTTACAGTAAATTATTGTACCTTAGTTATTACATTTCTCTTTATCTTCTTGCTAGCCTTATAAGTTACATATTTAACTTATAAGACTAGTACAAACCTCAATTTCCTTATAATCCTTCAGCTCAGGCACTGTGAAGCTCATCCCACAGTTGTCCCTTATTCTTATAAGGAGCTAGCCCCTCCACTGTATTAGTGTTGAGGAGAGGCTTAATTCCACTGGCCCTTTTGGCTAAAGTGTGACCAAAACCCATCAACTCTAGGTCACATAAGAGACCAGAGCTGACACTTTCCGTCCCAAAGCTAGCCATGAGATCCCTTTTCACACAGTTATACTTGAACTCATTGTTTCTTCTGGCCAATCAAGCCCTACTCAACGACCAATGTGCCACTCAAGAGGCAAAATAAATGGGTTTTGTATTGCCTGATTTAAACCTTCCACTGTCAGAAGAAGTCACATCGGGCCCTCTCTTTCCCATGCCCCTTCCTCAACCCTTGCTTATCTCCGAATCCGATTGTGTCTTGCATCAGAAACAAGCGGACCCCTATCCCAAAATTTTGACACAAGATTCTTTATTGATGATTGATTCATCTACTTCCGGCAAGCGCAAAATCGAAAGTTTGGATACAAAACCCATCATGAAGGAGAAGTGCATTTTTAAGGGAAAAAACAGATGACCGCAAGATGAGAATCTAGGAGGTAACAAAAACAATCACCATGAAAATTCCATCATATTGAAGCAGGAAGTGCAGGGATCAATGCCACAAATTCAAGCAAAATCAATCACTCAAGAAAGCTCAACTGTTGCACTGAAACTCAATAATGAAAAATTCAGCTTATTGAATTTTCACAACTGGGAGTTTATTCAGCTAGACCCACAAGAAGAGATGAGCAAAAAAAGCCAGATGCCCTCTGAACAAACCCCCACTGAAAAGCTTTTTGAACTTCTGTATAAAGTGAAGTATCATAAAAAATCAAATGGAAAAAATAAGACAGGAAATAATCATTTCTCAATTCCAAGAAAGAAACAAAACCAGATCCTCTCCAGATTTTCAAGACTACGTAACAAGCTCCCTTATCTACCTGGAAGTGATTATAATGGAAGAATGAGGTCAATTGCTGAAGTTATAATAAAAATAGCAGACGATAGAATTGGTCTTGACAAATGTGTCAGGTTTGAAAAAGAAATAGAAGAATCAATGATTCTGAATCTGAAATTGGATAACAAAATCAATACAGATGAAAGCAAAAACTTAAATATGATGCCAAAGATAACTATGATTATAGAAGGACTTAACAAAGTTGTGACTGTCTTGGTATTGGTTCATGTTTCATTATTTAAGGAGGAAAGAGATCATTTCAGAATAACAGAAATTTTCATTGATGATGTCTTGAACTTTCTGGCAAAATTCTGGAAAGAGATTGCACAAAGGACTCAGGAACTGATTGGGAGAGAAGAATTTGCGGAGAATTTGAGTGATTTGCTGAGTTTCAAGAGCAGTTTTTCCTATCATCAATACTTGAACAGACGAGATATCCTCTGGTCAGTAGCCTGCAGTATGGTAAAATATTGGACAGATAAAACTGGAAGAAGATTAGATAGAGAGTCTTCAAAGAGAAAAAATTGTCAAAGGGCTACATCTGAGTTGATTAACAAGATGATCTTCTACTTGAACTATCAATACATACTCAAAAATCAAGCCACAAAAAACCTATTATGAAAAATAAAACACAGAATTTTAATTAATGAATTAGTAACAATATTCTGGATATATATTACAGATATTTTGGAAAAGGTTGTCCATGTCACAAAAAACTTTTCTTCCTCGTTAAACACTATGCTCCTGATGTATAATCTTTGACAACTCAACCAGGATTCTGAAACTAGGTCAGAGCCAGGTTTTTGATCCCTCCATCATGTAATCCCACCCTCCATGCTGGAAATTCTCCTTGGGTTGGTTGATTCCTTTTGAGTTGATGCAGTTTATGTATATGAATAGATGAAAAACAAAAATATATGAGGAAGAAAATTTATCACTGGATTGGACAAACATTGTTGGAATAGCTGTAACAAATTTTTGAGAATTTGTTTTTGGTTTTTTGTCAGGAGATAACAAAATGCATGTGTGCCATGTGAAATGCTCCCACTTCAGCTTGTCTCTTTGAATTTGAATGATGGATCTGAGTTCCATTATTGAAGAAATTTTGAGGATGGAGAGGTAAAAGAGGAAGACATTGTTTGAAAGGTCTTGTAGAGGCAAACCCTTTTTTGGGAACTTAAGAGAGGCACTTGGGTTACAATGGAGAGAACCAATGATGTTTTTAGTTAAAAGAGACCAGGCATTAAGCAGTCCACATACAATAGGTTAAACATGTTGGTGAGAAAAAATAGAATATAAAAAATGAATAACAATCTAGAATATGCATGAAAAGATGACAGGAGCAAGTAATTATTGATAAATATTAGACCCAGGTTCAAAGACTACTGGGATTTCAGCACTAGACAATAATAAAAGGTGCCACTCAGGCACTTTCAAAACATAGTAATATTGAGTATATTCTTTTACATATACACATTAATTGAAAGGTGAGTCAGCTGGTTTGTTTAGGAATGAGAAAAATAAAGGACATAATTTCAACAATTATTTATTTTCTATCACTGATTCACTGCAATCAAGCCAACTTGTGTATCAACTCAACGGTCAAATAATCCTCCATTCCTCGTCAATCACAACACCCATAACATATTCACTTTCTCTTATTTTTCATTCTGTCTTTCCCTCTCTCATTTTTATTTTCTCTCCTTCTTTTCTGAGTATTGTTTCTTGCCTGCTTTATGGACTTGTGATATTGATGCCATTCCTTGTTAAGAGGTCCCTGGCATTTTTTAAGCTTAGGTGGATTTCCAACAGGAAAGTTGTGGTAGTTGTGGTTTGAACTCACCACTTCCATTCCCAAGTGGAAAAATCCTGTCTGGAAAGACAGAAATATTCCAAGGGGGGGGGCATCTCTGATGGGTTGCCACAAACTAGCCAGAAATTTCCTGCATGGAAGTGGAGGGGTGGTGAAACAGCAAGGTTACATACAATCAATTCCAGAGGCAGAGAATTTGTGGCTGGAAGCCCAACCAACTGGCTGTCCCAAAAATTAATTGAGTCAAGGCTCAAACACCTTTCAAGACCATTGGGTAACCATTGATGATCATTGATGGGAATGTCAAAGATGCTCTATCGACTATTACAACACTGTGTAGAGGTTTAGTCCTCTTTTGGGAATTATAAAACCTTGGAATAAAATCAGTTACTATGAGGGCCCTGTGGCCATTGGGATTGGCTAGCTCAAAAAACCTTGCCTACCAGAGGAATTCAATTTCTATCTGCTGTGGAGCCAGAAAAAAGACCCTCTCTGGTAAGCGAATTTTTTTCTGCCTCCAGGGCCAAAAGAAAATCATCCTCTCTAGGGGGAAAAATCTTTCTGCTTCCAATCAAGGATGCCATCTGGTGCATTGGGATTGGGTAGAGCTTTTCCAACATAAAAACACATAAAATATGGTCTTAAAACCCAGTATCAGCTAGATCTTGGCCTCCCAGCGAGGGAACTTGGGTCAACCATTAAAGAGTCTACCAAAGATAACTTCAGAAGGGTTTGTCCCTCTTGAAGGAAAAGAATTGAATGTTCCGGGACAAAATAAAGTTGTAATTCAGTTGTGATTGAAAAGAAGGATATTTCCAAGCTTTGAGGTTTGAATTTTGAAAAGGAAAACTTGAAACATGGCCACAATGTTGCTCCTTGCAAACAAGTATTTTCTGTCAGAAAACAAGTCCAATCTTCTCACATTTGCCTGTGGCTCAAGACCTTTGAATTGGTTATTTTCCTGATATGATGGGTCAATGAAAACAGTAGTGATATTGAAACTGTTGAATTCACTATGATGTATATTCTTTTCTCACCCTTTTCTCCATTATGGCTAGTATTATTGATCTTACTCCCATTTTTGGATCATGTAATACAGATTTTTTTTAGGATTCTGCATGTTTGAAGAGCCCTGCTGAAAGCCAACCTAGTCTGATAATAAATGAGTTACTGCCAGACTTCCCAGGACTGGGTGTTGTACTTACTTCCTGGGGGCCCGACATGTGACTGGGGTGTATAGAAAACTAGCATCAGTTTTGAGGGTGCATGTTGAAATGTTATGATCATTGAAAAATGACCACTGTGACAGGGGCCTGAAGGTTCACAATAAAACTTCATGAAATTGGCGTGACAGTCTAGTGTGGTTCCTCCTCACATTTGGGTGCACTTGGCTGTTGACCACTGGTAATTAAAAAACTTGCCAATCTTTTGGGTACGAGTCTCTCCATTTTAGGGTCCCTGAAGGACAGTGTTTCCTCCGAAAGAAAAGGACTTGCTATTGCTAAATATATGTTTCACTGGAGTGATAAAATTGACGATTGACCATAGTACTTTGTATCACAATCCAGCAGAAATAACCTACAACATGCACAAGACCCTCTTTTTGTTGCAATTTTACTGTTGGTTTTCACTGAAACAAGCAAAATCAATCCATATCCACTATTGCATGAAATCAAGTGGCATTCTTTATCTCAAGGGACCACTGTACACTTATTTCCTTGACCACTGCCACTGGGAATTAGAAAAATTGTGAATCTTTGGGGCACCAGTTTCTCCATTTTAGGGTCCCTGAAGGACAGTGTTGCCTCCAAAACAAAAGAATTTAGTATTGCTAGATACATGTTTCACTGGAGGGCTAAAACTGATGGTTGACCATAATACTTTGTATCAAAATTCAGCAGACATAACCTACAACATGCACAAGACCCTGTTTTTCTTACAATTTTGCTGTTGCTTTCCACTGAAACAAGCAACATCAATTCATATCAAATGTTGCATGACATCAGCTGGCCTCACTTCTTTCAAGGGTACACCACACTTCCTTCCCTTCCCCTTGGAAAAAAAACAAAAGTGTTTAGGCATCAAGGAGAATCCCAGATTTACATATTCTCCATTCCACTGAAAACTACCCATGGGATCTTTTTTTTTGAAGTTGTACTTGAACTCATTGTTTCTTCTGACTGACCAAGCCTTAATCAACAAGAAATTTTCCACTCAAGAGGAAAATGAAATGGCTTTTTTAGTACCTGATTTAAACCTTCCACTGTCAGAAGAAGCCTCATTGGTCTCTCTCCTTCCTTTGCCACCATCTCAACACTTACATATCTTTGGAAAAGATTGTGTCTCTCATCAGAAACAAGTGGAGATTCACCCCACAATTTCAGCAAAAGATTCTTTATCAATGATTGGCTCATCTATTTCCAGCAAGCGCAAAAATGAAAGCCTGGATACAGAACCCATCATGAATAAGAAGTACATTCTTGAGGACAAAAGACAGAAGGATATTTCAAAGAGCCTTGAATTAGCACAAGATGAGAATCTGGGAGGTGACCAGAAATATTGCCACAAAAATGCTATTAACTTGAAGCAGGAAGAGAATGGATCAATGCTATTGAATACACATAGTCCTACAATTTGTGCACTGGAATTGAATAATGGCAAATACAAGTTGTTGGATTTTGAAAACTGGACTTTTATACAGTTAGACCCACAAGAAGAGGCAAGTAAGAGAAGCCAGATAACCTCTGAAAAACCCCCAACTGAAAAGCTGCTTGAATGTCTGTATCAAGTGATTTATCCTAGAAGAAAAAATGAAATGATCAAGAAGAATGAAAAGAATCCAATCTCAATTCCAAGAGATAACCCAATTGGAATCCTTTCCAGATTTTTGAGACACCGGAACAAGATTCCTTATCCCACAGAAAGTGATTATAATGGAAGAATTCAGTCAATGACAAAGGTTATACTCAAACTGGCAAAGAATAAAATAGGTCTTGATAGATGTATTGCTTTTAACAAAGAAATGCAAGACTTATTGACCTTGAATCTGAATTCAGAAATAAAAACATATCAAAATCAAAACATTGAATCAAAAAATATACCAAAAATGATTCTGTTGATAGAAAAACTTAATAAAGTTGTCACTGTCTTAATCTTGATCCATGTTTCATTATTCAAAGAAGAAGGAGAACAATTTAGAATAACAGAAGATTTTATAAAGGGTGTTTTGGAATTTTTGGGATCCTTCTGGAGAGAGATTGCACAAGGAACTCAGGAACTGATTGGGAAAGAAGAATGGTCACAGAATTTGCATGATGTGTTTACTTTCAAGAAGAAGATTTTCAATTATAAAAACAAGGATAAGCCATACAATATGTGGTCATTATCCTTCAATATTGTTAAATATTGGGCATATAAAACTGACAGGGTTGTAGCAAGTGAAGCATCAAATAACAAAGATTATCAGTATGCTATATCTGAGATCATCAACAAGATGATCTTCTATTTGAATTATCAATATATAATCAAAAACAAAGGGAAAAAAAACAACCATGAGTAAACCAAAGCCACTGAATTTCAGTCTGTGACTTGATAATAATATCCTGGTTGATTATCAAAAAAAAAAAAAGAATCTAAGGCTGGAATTAGTGGGATCATTCTAGAAACAAAAAAGTAAAACCATCCAAAAAAAATATTAGACTGTTCAAATCCATACCATATCTAATATTTGGCTAGGCATGTAGAATTGACTATGTATTCTCAAGTTGTTGAGAAAAAATTATTGCTTATCTCTTGGAACAGTTCATCAAATTCATGTTTATATCTCCTGAATCTGTTAGAATTCTGACCTGCTCCTGGCTATTTTTCACACCCATGGCCTTCACATTCAAAATACATGTTCATAAATCCTCGATATGTTCATAAATCCTCCTTCTTCTCACAAAATTCTTGCCCTTGCTCAGCTCATAGAACCCCTTTTCTTTTCTAACTTACCCTCTTTCTGCATTGTGCAGTCAGATTACTCATGGTCTTCAAATATGAATATGGAGTTGTTAGTATAAAAATATAAAAGAATAAAAACCGAGATTTGGCAGGGACCTGTCAGCATACTTAATACTCTAATTGACAGGTCCCAGCCAAAATCGTGAATAGAAATTTACATATTCATATTTGAACCCCACAACTACTTCCAATGATTGTGTAGAGGTTGTTCTTCCACTTTCTTTTTCCTAACACATATGACTGCGCTTGTGAAGCTTATGCGATGTTCCAAACTGAACAGTTGTCTTTGGGTTTTTATAATTCAGGATGAACTGAGCTGGGACTCGGTCACCGAGTGTGAAGGTTCACGCGACAGTGTTGTGACAGTGGCGTGACAGTCTGGCTGGGTTCCTCCACCAACTTGGGGCGCGCTTGGCTTGTTGACCACTCCATCGGAAAACAGAACACTGACCACGAACAAGCACAACCTGAGCTCCACCCACCACATAAACACATTCTTACATTCGAGCCGGTCTCGCTCGCAACCTGGAGGAAACTTGCTCATCGACTGTTTATCGACGGCCGAAGATGGACGGAATCCTAGCGGGATACGGATCGGAAGAGGAAGTGAACCAGCAGACCGATGATAACACCACTGCTATCACTACTGGACTCAAGGAAGACCAGACCAGAGATGAAAGTGCGGCAGAGGCAGGATCGGATCCAGACGATGAAATCGATAATATCAATGGAGACGTCTTCGGAATTAAAGAATCACTCTCAAACAACAAGCCCAAGCCAGAACAATCTGACCAGCCATCAAACTCAACAGACAAACAAATCATCACAACCGTCCCTCACGTCATCCCAGCCATCGTAAGCGTTTCCCTCAACTTGGCTAGAAAAATTGTGCGTAGTGATGCAGAGGCTGACTCAAGTTTCGGTGATTCTGCGATGTCCAACGGAGCCAGTCATCCTCTACTTCTCTTATCCTCAGAACATCGGACACCGAGATGAATGTTAATGTCAAATACTCAGATATGATCCTTCCAAAACAAGGACCCAAAAATCCATTTACAAGTCGAAAGTTAGAAAAGATGAATACATTAAATGGTAAGCTGATCCTTGAAAACTCCATCTCTTGATTTCCTTATGGATGATGAGCTAGGATTTCCCCTTCTCATTCTCGTTCTTCTTTAACATATTCGCAAGTATAGGTCATATTGAAGAAGAATTTATCAATGATGTCGACTTCAATCGACAACAACGAACATTTCACGTGCTCAAGTATGCAAAGAACCCTTCAATAATTTCCTCAACCTCAGAAAACCCAGCTTTGAATTTTGTAGGGGATGTTCATGCGGCATACAAGAACGAGGGAATGCTTGCCTCAGAGGTGAAAGTGACGAAGGCGATGAAGAAGACGGTTAAGCGGAAGCGACAGGACAAAGGCGAGCTAGGTGTGTTTGACGAGGAGGAGGAGGAGGCAGAAGAGGGCGAGGAAGGCGAGCAGGGCCCACCCAAACCACCCACCAAGTCACGCGAATACAAAGGCCCCTGGGCGGGCTGGCACGACGAGCACATCGAGCCGGTTGGTCCAGACGAAGAAGAGTATGAGGCCGCGAAACGAGCGAGCACCTCGGCATCCGTCGTCAAGAAACAGGCCACAGAGAAGGGCCAAGCCAAGCGCGAAGTGGCCTACGGAGAAGAGAAATCTACTCTGCATGCCAAGAGTTTGCACGATTACCAGGGCCGGACGTACATGCACGTGCCCACCGACCTCGATGTTGACCTGCTCTCGACCGATCCTCCCAGCGAATGCTTTTTACCCAAACGTTGCATTCACACTTGGATGGGCCACACCAAGGCTGTTTCGGCCATCAGGCTTTTCCCAGAGAGTGGACATCTATTACTAAGCGCAAGTATGGACTCTCGGGTCAAAGTAAGGATTCCTCTCCCTTCAAATGGTTCTTATCCAACTGCCAAGTGACTCATTCCTCTATCTATCCTTTTGTAGCTTTGGGATGTCTATCATGATGGGAAATGCCTGAGAACGTTCATGGGTCATTCCAAGGCGGTCAGAGATGTCACATTCTCAAACGATGGCAAACAATTTCTATCTGCCGGATACGATCGCCAGATCAAGTTATGGAACACTGAAACCGGTTCGATCGTTCTCCAATTTATTAGTCCCTCGTTCTCTCGTGCTGATTTTGTCGCCTTGTTTTTGATCCGTGGATTGATACAGGACATTGTGTGCAAGCATTCTCGAATGGGAAGATCCCTTACTGCGTTAAATTGCATCCCGATAACGATAAGCAGCACATCTTCCTGGCCGGAATGTCAGACAAGAAGATTGTCCAGGTAAGAGATTACCAGGCAATTGTTTTGCGTAATGATTTCTAACAACTGTTTTCATGGGTGGCGGTTCTTTCCTCATATAGTACGACATGCGTTCAGGAGAGATTACTCAAGAGTATGACCAACATTTAGGACCAGTGTAAGTTGTCTTTTTCTCGAGTCCCTTACATTCAGAAAGTCTCAGGAACTTATCTTGGTGGTTATCGACAATAGAAACACGATCACCTTCGTCGACGAGAATCGGAGGTTTGTGACTACTTCTGATGATAAAACTATCCGCGCTTGGGACTTCGATATCCCTGTCGTGATCAAATACATCGCCGAACCTGCTATGCATAGTATGCCTGCTGTCTCTCTCCATCCTAACAGTAAGTCTATGTTCACAAAAAGTTTAATCTCATGGTTGGAGTTTTTGATTTAATCTGTGGGATTTATTTATTTACTTATTTCTTTCTTTTGCGGGTGAAAAAAAAAAACAGACAAGTGGTTAGCAATGCAATCATTAGACAATCAAGTGTTGATCTATTCGGCGGATTCGTTCAAGCAGAACCGGAAGAAACGCTTTGCAGGACACACGATTGCTGGGTATGCATGTGAGGTTGGCTTTTCGCCGGATGGGAAGTTCCTGAGCTCGGGAGATGGGTCGGGAAGTATGGTCTTCTGGGATTGGAAGTCTTGTAGGATCCTTAAACGGTTGAAATGTCATGATCAAGTGATCATTAGTCATTCTTGGCTCCCTCATGAAACCGTTTGTCCCTTTTTTTTCTCCCCCTTTGTACCCTTTAGCTTTTTTTTAACTCACTAGTAACTTTTTTTTTTCTGCCCGTTCTTAGTCCAAGTTGGTCACTGCCAGTTGGGACGGTTTGATCAAACTTTGGGTAAGCAAATCTCCCCTTTGCAGATTTTTTTTCAGTGTTCTTGTGGACTGACTTGGGTTTCGATTACTCTTTAATTCCAACAAACTCATAACAAACAAAAATAGGATTGAGTTTTTTATATACTCTCTCTGGTTCCATGTATCCGTTCCCTCGTGCATTTTCGAAATTATTTGTGATTGAGTATACTCGAAGCAAAAAACAAAGAAAGCAAAATTAAATAAATTGATACAATTGCGGAAACTTGTCATCATAACCATCAGATGAGCATCTTTGGTAATGTTTGAATAACGTCTCTTGGCTGCCAAAATCCATAGAAATGAGATCCAAAGTGGCGGCTTTCACCGCAAGTTCCTCTCGTCCTGTTCTGGCATAAATACAGTATCATCAAGCCCGTTATGATACACTTGCATGTTCTTCATGAAATATCTTTGGGCAACTCACTGTTTGGGCTGAACAAACTCAAATATAAATCTGATTCTCTCTTACGCTTAGAGAAATTTTTAAAACGAATAAGGGGACATCGAGCAATATTTCAAAGTCGACTTGAAAACGTTTAATTTTACTCTGCTTTTTACGATTTCCTCTATGAGGGCGTGGTGGTACCAATGGTGTAAGATGGGACCTCCGGTTCCACTCAAAAGCAAAGCCGCTCTACCGCATGATGATATGAACACTTCATCAGCACAAGTGCTCGGTTGTCTCTCCGGCACGCGCAGGAAGCGCCATCGCCGTTTTTAAGAGACACGCAGCACATCTGCCCCTCTGGGCTTTTTTGCGAACTGAACTCATCCACAAATTGATCGAAATTCGAGGTTGCCCGGTGCATTATAATAGCAGCTTGAATTTAGGTGTTTTTTTTTTCCACGCCATTGTAATCTGTAGTTTCTGGCTTCTGCCATGACGCGTTTTTGTCGCGTCGAGTGTCGGCCATTAATGTGGCTCCAGTTTACAGCTAGCAGTATCTGTCCTATTGAGAAACGGAACTTGTATCCTGCTAGAGAAGAATAACTCCACCGTAGCATGTGGATTGAGTAGCAATCCGGATGCCATCGGAAGTCCCGAGACGATGAAGTCGTCGTTCACATCGGAATATGTATAGACATCACGATGTTTCAACTTGAAACTTGGTGAGATGCCCAGCTACATGGTCAATCTCAACCGAATGCCGGAACTGTCCGGACTCCGGACAGGGATTGCGAATAGTCAGATTTTTTCTTTCGGTTTAACAAACAAGTCCGGAAGACTATGTTCAACTTCATCAAGCACCTTTACCTAACGTTACTCGTGAGCGAGCAGGCTCTCTTCACTCTGCTAACTTTGCCACAAAATGGCCAAAAATATGTTTTTGAACTGCCCGATTTGAACTTGCCTCCCCCAGATGAAAGCCCCCTCCACTCCCTATATTCCTTGCCGCCAACCCGAAATTTGCATGCCGATGAGTCCGATTCTGTCTTGCGGAGGAAACAAGCAATATTGCATCGCGATGACACCCCGCACTATTCATCATCAATCATTCATCACTCAGCCGGTTCTCTCAAGCGCAAAACCAACAATCTAGATACCAAACTTTCAGCAAATCACGTCGCGCGCATGGTGGTGAAGAGACGGAAGGCTATTCCCAATGACCAAGTAGAAGACAAACCTCGCGATAATGGGGAAATCGTCGACCAAGATTCCACTTCAAATCCCTCCGCAGCTCTCGACATACATCATACATCAACTAAAAACTTGAAAAATAAACTCAGTCCTCAAAATACGCACAATCTTCCTCTAGGATCAAGGCGAGATGCACACGAAATTCCAAATCTCAATGACTGGAATTTCCTCAAAAAAGACGCACGCAAGAGCAGAAACAATATTCCGGAGGACCAGAAAAAAACTAGGACTGATTGGATGTTTGACTTCATTGAAAAATTGAATAGCCAGGAAGGGTATAGTCAAAAGGATAAAATACTTAGTACGATCGCATGCAAGAAAGCAGCTTTGATTCTGAAGATGTATGACAAATGCAAGGAAAAGTTTCCTTATCCATCCGGAATGCACAGAAATGGTAGACAAGCAGTCGTGTTAAAGAACATACTTTGGATTTCAAGGGAAAAACTTGAGCTTGGAAGATTCAGAGACGGCTTTGAAAAAAATTTACTCGCATTGGTAACCGGTCTGCAATCCAGAAAGCGAAATTCCTCAAAAGAAATCCTACGATTTGATTCCAAAACCTCGCTGATATTGGAATATGTATCAAAGATAAACATAATTACTACAAGCTTGGCCGTGCTCTATCTTGCGTTATTTCAGGAACATGGCGAAGGAGGGCTGACAAAGGAATTCGTACAAGCTGTATTAGATTTTCTGAAGGATTTCTGGACCAAGATTGACAAAGGCGACAACGCGGATCTTCAAAAAAGAATTTTCGCTCAGCACTTGCATCGTCTGTTGAGTTTGGAGGAGGAGGATCTTGATCTCGGCCACAAGAACATGCCGCAATGTATCATGGCAGTTTCTTGGAATATTATTGAGTATTGGTCAGAAATAAAATATCCCAAGTTGGAAGTTTCAGGCAGGAAGGACTATCGGGTGTCAATGACTGAAATAATCAACAAGATCATTTTTTTCTCTGATTATGAGTTGTAACATCTCAGACAAAATCTACAAATAGAAAGTCAAGAACTTTCAAGAATCGAGCAAAATTAATTTGTAAATTTGATTCCCATTCAAGCTTAATTATTACTGTCTTTTTTTACTCAGATTCTACATAGCATAAACTCTATCCCCTGAGATGCCATACCTAGTCCATAGAAACTCAATCAATTTGAAATTGATCAGTCATTATCTTGAAAATAAGAACCTCCAACCTTTAAATCAATCCATACTTCAGATCCTTCATTGATGCAACAGTAGACCTGAGAAGGATATCTATCACAATTTTCTTTTGGCAAACCAACCCAATTGCTTCTTGGACAAACCTCCTACATATAATTAGGATTTCAGGCGAGATCCATCCGTGTGCAAATTTTTTTAGATAGTACAGTCTGTCTGACCAAATCCAATGCACACACTTGGTTGGCTACCAGCTTAACACAAGCTCCTTGATTGGGGGTGTGTTGAGATCTCACAAAGCAAGCCTCTGAAGGAGGGGCTTGGGACCAAAGACATATTTTGGCTTGAACGTGTTTGGCATTTTGGTGGTGGCAAATTCCCCTCCATTATCATTCCACCTTTATTCTGCAAGTTTTGATGCCCTGTTAGACCATTAGAATCACATGGATCTTGCCTGCCATGTAACAAAATTTGGGGCTATCCTTGGCTTCCTGACCCATCCTAAAAGCCTCTCAAAGTTCATGATCTCTGGGATCCAGGTCATCTGTACATCCAAATACAGGAATATACAGGTGACCCAGATCCAAGAAATCATGGAATTTGCAAAGCGTTTTAGATGTCATGGAAATACAAGGGCAGGTCCAAGTTATTTTGGGTGGTAGGTAAGGTCAAGATCCACAAAATTCTATTAATATGGTCCAACAGGGCATCAACTTTTTTAAAGGAAGGTTGGATGGTATTTAAGGGCAGGGAAGTGCTCCACCATCAAAAAGTCCCAAGCTTTCAAGCCAAAAAGCTGACTCAAGTCACAAGTAGAGATTGTTTGTTTGTACTCGGGTACCTGTTCAATTTTTTAAGAAAATAGGTACCAAGTACTGCACCTGGCACCACCCGGTGGGTACCACCGGTACTTTTGGCAGGTACCAGCGGTACTTTACCTCTCTTTCTCACTTAGTTCCACTTATAGTCAATTTTTCATTTTTTCATATTTATTGTAAAATATGCAGCCCCCCCCACCCTATGTTAGGGAAGTGGGGCGGTACCAGCGGTACCTGGGTACTGCCTGTTTTTTGCCCAAAAACAGACACCCAGCACTGCACCTAACACCTCCTGGTGGGTGCATGACAGGTGCTGGCAGTACCCGCCAAGCGGTGCCGGGTTCCTAGCAACGGGTACTGACAAAGAATCTCTAGTCACAAGCCCCTCCTTTGGAGGTTTGCTTTGAAAGGTCTTGACACACCTCCAAGATTGAGGGAGTTGTGTTAAGCTAGGAATGGCCATGGGCTCCAAGTGGCTCACTTTCAGAGACACCTGGAATTTCATTCAAGTAAGTTTGTGAAGAAATTTGAACTACAGGTTGGCCATTCTGAAGGGCACAATTGGATAAACTCAAAATTGAGGAGAGCCAATGAGTTTTTAATTGCTTGTAACTAGCTATCTTGGATAGAATAAGTACAAGTAGTCAAGTTGTGGTTGAGAGAACATGAATAATAAAAATGAATAGAATAGAATAAAAAAGAATAAAGTTTAACAATCAAGGAAGCAAATGGAAAAAGAAGAGCTTCAATTTTGAGACTGAGTTGTGAACAATGGCTACTAAATCAGGGAATCCATGTGATCTACAACAGTGTGCCAAGTCAACAAAAAATTGGTCACTATTCTAAGCATAATCCAGTCCACTACTGCAGGATCCGGCGGGACTGCCCCTCCGGGCTTCTTGTGAGAGGCGTCCTGCAAACCGCAGTTCGAATTTCTTTCAGATGACATTTTTACTCTAATGGAACCCCCATGTTGTGAACTAACTCTTTTGGCTTCTACATAATACCTACATAGAGTTGTGCAGCAGTTCACCTCACCTTGGTCTGTTTCTCCATTTACTGACTGGAATCAATTATCAGCCGGTACTCCGACTAACAACGGTGAAAAACTTATTTCGCATGACCCCATTACTGCCGAGACAGACAGGATCTTTGCACCAACCCTTTCGGTGTCGCGCTTCGCACCCCCCTTGTGTCAAGTTCAAGGTATTGTCGCGTTGAGTTTCGGTAGGTTTCGGTCATTGACTAGTTGGGAATGTCACGGAGTTTCAAGTTGGAACATAGTGATGTTTCCGACCTGAATAACAACTCCATCGTCTCGGTATTTCCGATGGCATCCAGAATGTTACTCAATCCCCATGCTAGTGAAGTTGTTCCTGTCGAGCAGGATAAAGGTGGGACATGCGGCTGTGGCTGAAGGCGTATTACCCTTAACCGAGTACCGCAACAGTGGGCAGGCATCTAAAATTTTCAGGTTTTATTTCGGTTCAAGAAGCAAGTCCAGAAAATCATGTTATACTTCATCAAACACGTTTATCTCATTTTACTCCTGAGCGACCAATACTTATACACTCTGTCAGCTTTGCCTCAGAATGGCGAAAAAGCGTTTTTCAAAACGCCCGATTTGAACTTGCCTCACCCAGACGAAAGCCCACTCGAGTCCCTCTGTTCCTTGCCGCCAACAGAATCGTTCCGTGTCGAAGGCTCAGATTCGGTCTTACTGGGAAAAGAAGCAACGTTGCAGAGTTCATCCTCAATCACTCAACACTCAGCTAGTTCTGTCAAGCGCAAACCCAGCACTCTAGATACCAACCTTGCAGCAAATGAAGCGCGCTTAGTGGTGAAGAAACGGAGGGTCATCTCAAAGGACAAAAAAGAAGACTGGCCTCGCGATAATGAGAAAATCGTCAACCAAGGTTCTACCTCAACTTACTCCGGATCTCACAAGTTGAACATACATCGTACACCAATTGAAAACTTGAAATATAAACTGAGTCCGCAAAATACAAATAGCTTTGTACTAGAGTCAAGCCAAGATGCATATCAAATAATTAATGTTCATGACTGGAATTTCCTCAAAAAGGTCCCGCACAAGGAAAGCAACAGTGATCTGGAGGACTACCAAAAAACGAAAACGGATTGTATGTTTGAGTTTATTGAAGATTTAAATACCAAGGAAGGATATAGTAAAAGAGACAAAATAATGAGTAATACGGCAGGAAAAAAAGCAGCCGTCATTCTCAAGATGTACAACCAATGCAAGGAACGTTTTGCCTACCCATCCGAAATGACCAGAAATGAAAGACAAAGAATCGTTTTGAGGAACATACTCTGGATTTCAAGAGAAAAAATCGGTCTTCGAAAATTCAAAAACTCCTTAGAGGAAATTTCAAAAGGATTGGAAAAAGGTCTGAAAGCGAGAATGGGAAATTCATCAAAACGAATACTACGATTTAAATCCAAAAAATCACTGATAGTCGAATATGTAGGAAAGATAAACATAATTGCAACAGGCTTGACTGTATTATATCTTGCGTTATTCCAGGAACATGAAGAAGGAAAGTTAACAAAGGAATTCATTCAAGGTGTAGTGGATTTTCTGAAGGGTCTCTGGACGGAGATTGATAAAGGCGAGAACGAAGATCTTCAAAAAAGAATTTTCGCTCAAAACTTGCATCGTCTATTGAGTTTAGAAGATAACCATCTCGATTTTAGTCATAAGAACATGCCACAAAACATAATGTCAGTTTCTCGAAATTTTGCCGAGTATTGGATAGAAACAAGATATCCAAAGTTAGAAATTTTGGGGAAGAAGGACTATCGTGAACCAATGGCTGAAATAATCAACAAAATAATTTTTTTCTCTGATTATGAGTAAAACTTTAGTACAGGAGGATTGATAACAAAATTCACAAATACATAGAATCCAAAAAAGCAACATATGTAGATGCGATTGCCAATGCAGCTTAATGATTGTTGTGTTTTTTGTAGTCAGATTAAATTCAAGCATAAGCTCGACCCACTCAGATTTCATATTTCATACCTAGTACATTGAAACCTAATCTATTCCAATTTTTTACATCATCACCAAAAAAACCCCTTTGAATCAATATGTTGATCTGTGGTTTATTCATCAAGCCAAAAGGCAGACCTGAGAATGCTATCCCTGCTTATCACAATGTCACACGGCAGCTTGTACAGGAAGCCGGGTGTGCACTAAAGAAATGAAATGAGTTGAGTGAAGGTTGAGAAAAAACTGCTTTGGAATATCTTCTGCTTCAAAGAGAGAGGACTTTTGGATGAGACTTGGTTATGAAGACTGTAAGGGTTTCACTGAAGGAAAGGCTCAGAAGGCAAGGAACTCAATAAATGCTAAAAAAATATAATCCAATTTTGATGAGGGAAGAAAGGATAGGCAAGTACAAGAGAGTATTTATGATGGAGTAATGGTGCTGACAACATAGGCATAATAAGATGACAGAAAGAGAAAGAGAATAGGCATAATAAGATATCAAAAAGAGAAAGAGAATGAAATAAAATTTGAGACTTGAAAAGAGAGAGAGAGAGAGAGAGAGAGAATGAAATGAGAGCAAAATAGAATGAAAGGGATGACACAAGATGCAGGAACAGGCTTGAGCCAACGCTGCAAAAAATATAGTATTTGCAATGTATTGGCATGTATTTTTTCATTTATCATGGTCTCAATGTAATTTTTTCATGACCAATGTGGTTCTATTGAGAGTCTTGTTCATTTAATCTGTCTCTTTGCCATATATGTTGGTGCAATCTCTCATGATTCAAACTGTGTATTGTATGTGCTTCAGCGTTGCTTGAGCGCTTCAAGGGAAAGACTGAGTAGGTGGTTGAAGCTGAACGTGTTTGTATCTGCCTGGTAATGTATTGTCTCTTGCTTCAATCCTCTGTCTACAAAACATCAAGGCTCAAGGGACATTAGTAGTACATAATTATGTTCCCTTCTTTCTTGATGTCAGCCTTAGAGCCAGCCAAGCTGGCCAAAAGACTTCCAAAATTGCCCATTTCTATTCCAAATATTATCATATCTTTTTTATCTTAAGAATTTTAACCATTCTGAATTCATAAATTTATTCCTGGAGTAAAATTAACCCTATTCACTGCTGGTCACTCTTATTCAACTCCATTCCTTCATTGACTTTGTGTAATAATTCACAGTACCTTATGAATTATACAAGTTCACAAGTTTCAGTTTCCTATACCACATGTACATGCAATTATTATGTAATCCAAATTTGAAAATTCTCTCTGAGCTTGTTGATTCTGCTTCTAAAGGATTTTCAGAATTCAGACACACAGAACAACAACAACCAGACCCAGATCCAGCAATCACTTATCAACCAGAAGTACCTCACTTTTTCTACCCTTCCCACTATGCAGTGTCATTGTTATCAGCAGTAAGTAACTTCTCAATAAGTTTAGCTAGCATCTTTATGATTGTCTTCTTCTCTGTCACTCTCCTCCTCCTTAACTCTCATCATTCAAGACCTACTAAATCCCTGACAAACCAAAGCCTACAGTAGCTTCTTAATTCCATTTATCACTGTTTGGTAGTAAAACTGAAAACTACTCAGGTTTCCCTTTAACAACCTTGATCCCTGATCTAAAAAAATAGTGGTTTATCTGATTTCTCAGTATCAATAACCCATATCAGTTTCTTTTGATTTGGAGGGGTAGAGTTAGCTCCACTTATAACAGCTATCCTCAAAGGAAAGTAAGACCGCCAGAAATTGAATCATAATCATAAAATAGATAAAGACAAAACATTATCTATTGTTTTCCCCTTCTATTCTTCCTTTCCTTAACTTTTATTGTATTTCCCTTCTCCTGAGAAATACATATAAAAATGCTCCCCCCAAACCTTGTGTCCTGCTGTCACTATTGAGACCCAGGATCACACTTGAGATTCTCCCTTCTTTCTTCTGAGATTTAAACCACACCTGTTCACAGACCCCAGTGTTATCAGGTACCTAAATCCTCTGCTTTTGCCAGATACCTTTGAGGGATTGAACAACCCCTGATTCATCAGGCCCCTCTGCTTAAATAGTATCAATATTTATTGATATAATTAATTATTTATACTATCTCATAACCTTGTAATTACCAATCATTTTTGGAAGTATCCTCCAGACTCTTCAGTCTCAAACTCCATTATCTTAAGTTTTGCACCATGTGTAGCTAGAAGGGACACTCCTTGGCATCACAGTGGCTGACATAAACCCTGAATCACAAGCACTCACCCCCTGCAGGCAAGGGCATCAAGGGTAACCTCCTGTCAAGAGACCTGGAAGGGCTGCCTCTTCAGGCTTCTTTCAAAAGGCTTCCTGCAAACACAACAAAAAAGAGTGTCAAAAATTTACTTCAAATTCTATTCCCTATCAGTCTTACTAAGCATCAGGATGCAAGTGGGCCGGGTTCGGGTCAAAAACCAGTGACCAAACCCGCCCCGCCAAATCCTCGGGGCGGGGCGGGTTGGGGCAAAAATTGTAAAATGTTGACCAAACCCGGCCCAAATACACAATGCCTCGGGTCGGGTCGGGTCCGGGCCAACCCAGCAAAAATCACTTTCTTTTTAATCAAGTACATAATTTGGTCAATCTCAAGCCGACCCAAATGCATTCCGTCCTGACCATACCCGCCCCACCGACCCGTCGGGTTAAGTCCGGGCCAGGTCAATTTCCAATCCTAGCCTGCCCGAACCCGCCCCGTGACCCGCCGGGTCGCGGGTACCTGGCGGGTCGACCCGACCCACTTGCATCCTGAACTAAGCAGACAGACATAATTTTATCAGAGGTTTTTGTTGACTAGGTAATTCTGACTAATCCGGCCAAACATGTGAAACTCATGCCTGTCAATCAAACCCTGCACAATCTTGTGCAAGTCTTTAACTCTTTTTCAGTCCTCAGAGCATCCACATCAGTCTCTAACTTAGCGCGGATTAAGGCACTTAGCCCAGCTGCAACCGCACCCGGCCAGATTACACCAGGATCAACTTGACCCAGATACCCATTTGGAGCTAGTTGGGTCTAAATCTACACCTCACTAATCCTGGGATCAAGTGAACCATGCATATTCAAAATGCATGAAAGCCTTCCCACAGCTGCAAAATAGGTCCAATTGAGCCGGGCAAACTGACTTCAAATACATAACACATAGATTTAAGCAATCTCAGCCACCGGACTGATGCGGTTGAAGCCTGAGAAAAGCTTAGCCATCCGCTAATCCAAGCTTGCTAGTCCGGTATAAGTTGCTCACTGATGTGGATGCTCTCAGAGTCTTGGACTCTCCTTTTCCCCTCAGACTATCCAATTCCTTTTGCTCAACAAAATCTTCATCAATATTCACTCACATCCATCAATTATCCCTTAATCCATTTTTGAATCCTCACCTAAACTGCAATTTTGATCCAAACTCACTACTCACCTAGACCAGCAAGACTCAGGAGGAGCTAGGATGCAATACAAGTGGAGGTAGAAAACATTCTCACTCTCTCAAGCAACTTTGAACCAGATTCTGATCTCACAAGTTGTTATTTCCTTTTTCTATTCTTTTGTTTCATTTGATTCTTCCTTTCAGGCTTGTTATTGTGTTCAGTCTACATCTCTATTTTTGTTGTGTCTTTTGCAAGTACTCACTAGAATCAAACTATAAGAAGGTAATAATTATCAACTATTTCAGTCTTTTATATTAGTTTTTAATTCTTATCTTATTTCTACATTCTTTATTCACTGATATTGTCCTCTATTTAGGCAGCAATTATAAATGGCTTTTGATTTTTTTTGTTTTTGTTTGAATTAAATTCACAATGTTTTTATTTTTATTTTTTTTATTTTAACCAAAAAACAATCTCAAAATTTTTTCAAACAACCTCTAGGAGGTTGTTTGAAAAGGAAAAAAAATCAAAATCTGTTTATGCAATATCATTACAGTCCTTATGGGATTCACTACACCCCTTATGGGCTGTATCCTGCTGTACAACCATACAAAATACAGACAGTGCTCCAACCTAGACCTCAATACAAGATCTCAATTGCAGATAAGCAATAAACTGGCTGTTTGAGTTTATAATTGCATCATATTTGAACCTTTTTTTGGTTTCTTTTTGAATTTCACGTCCTCTTGAAAAAAAAAAGTAAAAAAATGACTTTCAAAAACAAATCAAAGAAGTTACAAAAAAAAACCAAAAACCACTAACTGTTTATAATTGCTGCCTTACTTTATCTCTCAATCAGTTGTTTTTACTACTATCAGCATGAATTGAAAGTTCCAATAAATTAATATAAGACCTCATATTCCTACAGTTTTCTGTGTGGCGTTTGCGTCCCAATTGTGCTGAGTAAAGACATGCAGGTCACATATGATTTTGTTGCATGGGGCATGAGTTATCTAGTTGGGCAAGCCATCCAATGGCTTCTGTGAAAAGCATTTTCTCATCAGGTCTGCAGCCCATACCGTCCATCTGACCAGTGCTTGGACTTGGTTGGATATATGTCAACAGTGCTCCACTTTCAAAGCCACTTAGAATGCCACTAAGGAGGGTTTTTGTTGGATGAGGCGCCTATTTTCTCCATGAATTTAATTTTCATAAAAATTAAAATGTTTGAAGCCTGCAACGGCATCAATGGTAGAACATATAGCCTCTAAATTCACTAAAAGTTGCTTATCTGCATTGAGAACATGTATCAAGGTCTAGGTTGGAGTACTGTCTGTATTTTGTATGTTGTACAGCGGGATACAGCCCATAAGGGGTGTAGTGAATTCCATAAGGACTGTAATGATATCGCATAAGCAAATTTTGATTTTTTTTTTTTCATTTTCAAACAACCTCCTATAGGTTGTTTGAAAACTTTTTGAGATTGTTTTTTGGTTAACAAAACAATAATAAAAACATTATGAAAGTAATTCAAACAAAAATCAAAAAATTCTCAAAAAAACAAAAAAAACAAACACCATTTAAGATTGCTGCCTTAGTACTTGCCTACCACAGGCAAGGGCATCAAGCGCCACCTGCCGGCAAGAGACCCGGTAGCCTTCTGGGCTTCTTGTGAGAGGCTTCCTACAAACTCATCCAAAAAATGATATTATAATATTACCCTGTGTCAGATATTGCAGCTTAAATTCCACATTTCTTTCAGATCAATTTTTTTCTTTTTGAAGCTTGCTGCTGTAAACTGTAGCTGCTGGCTTCTATGTATACATAGTCAGGAAAGTCATGAAACTCATTTTTTGAGTTGTGCTCAGTTGATCATCCTCCGCACCTCACCCTGGTCTGTGTCTCCATTCACTGACTGCATTCAGGAATGCTGTCCGCTGCTTCAACCAAAACCGCGAAAAACATTTTTCCTGACCCAGTTACTGCCCAGAAAGATACGAGCTCAAGCAAGCCTTTTGGTGTCGCGCTTTGCACCCCCACGTTTGACACATGCAGGTCCCAAATGTAGTGAAGATTTTGTCACATATGTAGGGTTTCTGTCATTAATTATATATGTACATATACACCACGGGTGCACCCATTGGTTCCTGAGTCGTTCTCAAGAACCTGTGAATTAATAGACTAAAAGTTGTATTTCATCAATACCAGTTCAAAGAAATACAATAAGAAAGAAAGAAAGAAATGAAAAGTATAATCACCTAAAAGCAGTAAATGACTAATGATAAGAACAACAAGCGCTTATATAGTAATAAGAATAACAAAAAGAAAGAGTTCTAACAAAAAGAGAGTGATCAATACATGGACAATAAATAAAGAATGAACCCCAATTGAGACCTACGTGGAACGAGTTCAGGAAGGCGAGGATCGGCGAGTGTTGGTAAGAGGAAGGGATAAGTACTTCGGATGATCAGATGGATCAGATAGGGAAGTGAGTGAACGATGTTCAACGGTAGAGAATGGATGTGAAATTGGTGTGATGAACGGTGTTTGATGGAAGCCAATTTATTTTGTGACCCAGAAAGATTTAGTGAGAAAAGAGATTGGAGGAGTGACGAGTGAGAATGAGGAATCGAGCGAGGATGAGGAATTTGAATAAAGTTTTTATTCCTGAGGAGAGGGAAGGAAGTGTTTTGGAACACTTCAAGAGAGTAATATGGAAAAGATAGAAGAGGATCGAGTGGAGTAGAGACCGCACAAGATTTAGGAGGCTTGAGCAAAATGATGTCATTGCAGGGGCTTGAGCGAGATGACATCACTATTTCGATAGTGAGGGACAAAAGAATAGTCTAAGCTTGATGAATTAAGCTTGGACATCAACAGAACCATTAGAGTTTTTGAGTCTTCTTCCAAACCAATTTGCTTCGGAAGAAAACTCAAAAACCAATGTAAGGTTTGGACTCAAAAAAACCTTAAATCAAACGGTTTTCAAGTTGGCTTGAAAACCGGTGCAGTTCTGAGGTCAACTTGAGAACCCGTATTGGTTTCCAAGTCAACTTCAGAACTTCACTGGTTTTCAAGCCAACTTGAAAACCAGGCAGTTTTGAAGTCGGCTTGAAAACCAACTTCTCAAGTTTGTTGTCAAGTCGGCTTCAAAACCACCATTGGTTTTCAAGTCAACTTGAAAACCAGTATGGGTTTTCAAGTCAACTTGAGAACCACATCAGTCTTCAAGTCGACTTGAAAACCAGTGAAGTTCTGAAGTCAATTTGAAGACCGGCTTACTTCAGCAGCTCTTGGGCTTTCAGACAGGGGCAACAGTCCCCCCATCCTGAGCAAAAAAACAATAAGTCCCCACTTTACATCCATTGCAATCAAACCAGCCTCCTTGATAGCCGCATCATCAATCATGCCTTATCCAACCAAATCAATGCCCAGCCCTCTCAATACATTTCAAAAAAGCCAAGTCTTGATCAACTTTCAGGAAACCCAGGGCTCCAAATACATACCCAACACTCAAGAATTGGAGTCGCAGGACTTCCCCAGCTCCTTACCTGTACCCAATGGCAGCGAGCTGTATTGCAATTTTCATCTGGACTACTTGGTCTGGGTGAATAATGTTGAGAACAACACCTTGTTTGGCAATCTTAAACCGGTGAAGCCTCCACAACAGCTACGCATGTCAGTGACTGACATGTCGTTCAGCCTCTTCAAAACTCGCGTTTACAATCATGTGGCGGCCAGTCAAGATCATCTGTCTTTGTCAAAGTTGCATGACCTCATCAAGGTACTAACCAATGTGGACAAGGCCCACCAGTTGCAATGGCGCTGCAGTATCAAGAACTGTGAGCGTGTGGTAAACGACAACTCTTTTTTCAAATTGTTTATGGTTGTGGCCGGTATCCAATTTGATGCATGTAACGTTCTCCTCTTCATGGATAAACCATGCAGCAGCAATTGTTTTGTAAGTTTTTTGTTCTGCAACTGTTTAATGAGTTGTTGACTAATATACTCCTATTCGAAGAAATTGGCAACTCCACCGGCCTCTGGACAAGCTGTCCGTTTTGCTGGCACAGAAGACAGTAGATCTGAGGCTGATATCTTGGATGGATCGACCATGTCCAATCAAACAAATACGGTTCAACTCCCCACTGACGCAGAGGTCCAGGCAAGGGTTGCACAAGAGTCAACCAATCAACAATCTGTGCAGGTTTGATTGAGTATTTGTTGCTATCTCTCTCTCTCACTTCAAGTATTTGTGGCTATCTCTCTCTCTCTTGCTTCTCTTTCTCTCTTTCTCTTGCTCCTCTCTCTCTCAATTCTCTCTCTACCCTATGTCTTTGCATGTAGGATAGAAGTAATCTCTCTCTCTCTATCAATGCTCTCTTTTTCTTGCTGCCCTCTCTTCTCTCGCTATGTAGGTTGGATCTAGCGTTCTGTGCTCCCAGCCTAGCCTTTTTATGTTCATTCTCTGCTGCTTTGCTGTGTTGCTTCACTCTTTCATTCCTCTCATTTTTTTCCCTCTCAATCAATTGCATCAATCACTTGATTTATTGGTCACTCATTTACCAAAATGTCCATGTTTTTCTGTTTTCATTTATAATCATTCTTCCCATGTTCCCTTCTTTCTTTCTCTCAGCACTCTCACTCCCCCAAAATGAATATCAAAGCTTTTGAAAAAAATTGAGTTTATTTTTTATTTTTCACAAATTTTCAAACTTTATTTTTTGCTTTTATTATTTCATATTCATTTTTTGGGACCTATTATGCACCACCTGACCCAGTCTCATGACTTCAAGTATGTTTTTCAGAGCTCTGGAATCCAAAATAAGCAGCCACTTTTCACTGTCTACCCACTGTACCCCGCCGGCTGGAAGGGTTTCCTTCTGGTCAACAAGGAGGTACATGTACCTTGTTGACTGGAAGGATTTCCTTCCAGCTGTTGAGGTACATGTACCTCGACAGCTGGAAGGAAACCCTTCCAGCCGGCCACCTGCCCTTCTGGCCTTGGGTATCCCAAAGGTTACCCGCCAGGGTTTTGCGGAAAAGGGGTCATCCGCACCCAAATCCGCACCCTCTGGCGGGTATCCGTTGGTACCAGCGGGTATCCGCCAGGGGATAACGGGTATCCGCCAGGGGATAACGGGTATCTGCCAGGGGATAACGGGTATCCGCCAGGGGATAACGGGTATCCGCCAGGGGATAACGGGTATCCGCCAGGGGATAACAGATATCCGCGTCCAGCTCTAATCTTTAATTAGTCGGCCTGGACAGGCCACTGGCTCCCTGATAAATCCGCGGCTGGGATTGCAAGTTTCAGAGAATTGTTCCTCAAGGCGACCACGCTGGGGTTCGGCAAGCGTCTGCAAGACGTTTGCAATAACCAGCCTTTTCTGGCCGGTACACCACCGGGCCATTTTTTTTTATTGGGACCATTTGTCCCACAGTTGCGGGTTTCAACCAGCTTCCCAACCATTTGAGCGCCATCAAAGCGATGAGCCGACCCAGATGTGAGCTCTCTGGTGATTCGACCATTGGGCTCATGGTCATGGCCATAGACCGTTGACAAACCTACAAATCGGACTGTTTTTACAACAGTTCACAGAGTTGATCGTTGGAAAAACACTTTCTCCTCGTCAACACAACTTTCGATCTATTCTAGGCTACTTTGGGGACCTGCTTGGAGTGTTCATCAGATGCTGTTTGCTTGAGAAAACTCGTCTCTCTAGTTTTCAAAAAAAGCACAAAAATGACTTGTGATGACCATCGATCAACAAACTTATGATGCAAAAGCTCAGTTTGCCCAGTTCCTCTCATGCTACCACACCAAAAATTTCATGGCATGGAGTTTGAAATGAATGAAAGCTTTTCTTTTCCCCTTATGGTTCTAGCTCAACTGCGCACGGGTAATCAAGCAGGTTTGCATCAGAAGCACTCAGATAATATTTGTGGATGGATTTGAACTTGCTCATTCATGATTCATTTGTTTCTAGATACATAATAATTCGAATGAGTAGGTTAATTTTGGTTTAAGTAATTAAACATCGAGTAGTTCGGAATCTGTTGAAGATGAGTCATCTGATGCAGACGATGTATCTTCTAGCTCTAAATTCTCTTCGTTTTCGTGGTCTGGAGGAGGTACAAGGGTTGGAATTATTGGAATTTGTGATGCCGAATGAATCCACTTCTTATAGCTAGACTTTCCAATTTTCCATTCCTCCTCTGCATCTTCTACATCATCTCATTTCCCCTCATCACAGCTCCCACCTCTCGAATTTAATTATCTTCATTAGAGCTCCCACCTCCTAAATGTATCATCCTAAGTAGATCTCACCTCCCGAATACAGGCATGTTATCCTTATAAATTCATGGCATGTCTCAATTTTTCATACTACTAACCAACCGGCTTTCCCTCTACAGAAGTCACTTGTAGATAGCAGTCCAGCATTTAAAAGGGATCACCTTCCTCCAGGATTTGCTGGTAATAACTCTCGCTCAATGTCAAAGGTTTTTGGCCCTGGTTTCCGAAATGTTGAAAACTGATCGCAACACCTTGCGTGGATGTGTGAGTTCCAAAGAAGCTACATCACAATTGGAGTTTATCTCATCTTGACCAAGGCTTGTGTTACGTAGTTACTTGAAAACATAAAAACCAGTAGTTTATCTCATCTTGACCAAGGCTTGTGTTACGTAGTTACTTGAAAACATAAAAACCAGTAGTATCCATAAAGAGATCAAAGGCCCCGTTCCCAACCTGACCAAACTAATCTCACACGTAAGTTCTTTTCATATAAGCTTACCAACAGATATCTATTGACCAATTCCATTGGCTTTGTTAGATTATCAAGGCCTTCTTTCCAAAGGAACAAGCCTTTCTGGGAGCGTCCTTTGACCCAGCTCATGTGCCTCAATCTAGAACACGAATTGCGTACTTGCGCCTTGAGACCATACGATATGTGTTTGGAACCGAAAAAACAAACAGTGCTCAGTGGGACTTGATTGATCCCCAATTGGAGTTTATCAGAGGGCAGTCAATGGATTATTATCGAGCGTAAGGCTTTTCCTTGGATATTCCAAACATTCGTCTTCCTGACATCTTTCATTTATTTACTGATTGAGCAGATGGTCTGAACTCATAATCCAAAAAGATGATGAACTATTTGGCACCGGTCAACAAGAATTTGAGAAATTAGATGAGGAGGAATCCTTTCTACCTACGCATGAAGATGTTCTTGAACTTCAAGCTGAACATCAAAGAGACCGAGAACAACATAATCGACATTCCTGAAAATCTTTTTCTATAATCATTAGGGGGTATCAAATATAGGAAATCCACCATCAGAAACCAGTCAATTTTTCCAAAACTTTTTTTTGCATCAATGGTCCCCAGAAGGGGTTAAATGAATAACCAACATGTTTAAAAAAGGGTGGATTTTCTCAAACCAGTCAATTAAATGATGGTGGATTTGGTTATATTTGATACCCCCTATTATATGTTGTAGAACATTGTACGCTGTTGTTACAGTTTTGTATTGTACCATTAGTTAAATATGTATATTTATGTACTTGCAAGTACTTTCAAACAAACACTGCTTGTCAGGATGCCCCGAATAATCAACCCTGAGGGCATAAAGTTCAGGCCAATTGAGCCTAGACAAAAAAGTATGGTCCACCGGGTCTGGTGAGTAAACCAAGGGAAAAACGCTGGGCCAACGCTGTGCCAACAGCTTGGTTGGACCAACTGTTTTCCAAACACACATGATTACCAGATCCCAACGGTTGCCACTGCGGGTGGTGAAACCATCAGACAAACGGGCCTACAAACCTCCAGCTGCCGATTAGGTGCGCCCGTGGTGTACCGATCTCCAAGCAGTCCGATGTCGTTTTAAAAACGAGTGGCAATGGTTTTCATGTCGCCTCCAGAACGACTCATGTCAGAGGTCTTTTCCAAGCCGGTTTGGAGGCGACAGCGCTTCGGCTCCGGGGCGTTTGGCAAACCTCCTCGGAGTCAACTTCAAGACGCAAACGTTTCTTCGTTCCGGAAACGTTTGCAACACAGTGGCTGTGAGACGTTTTCAAGGCGACTCACCCAGTCGCCTTGAAAACGTCCTCGTGCACCCGTGGTGTATCACAAGAAGTTGAGGATGCCACCAAGTTTCAAGGAGATCTGGGTCGTTATTCAATTCACATGCTAGTTTGATCCTCCTATCAAGCAGGGAAAAGGTGATCGGCTCATGTTTTGTTCCGCAACAAGATACATATTTACAACCGGCTCTCATTGGAGCAATATTATTCCCTCCTAATATTTCAAGCATGGAACAGGTCAGCCATCTCATAATTTCGGATTTTGTTTCAGCTCAACAAAGATACATATTTACACCGGCTCTCATTGGAGCAGTATTATTATTAGCCGAATATTGCAAGACTGGATCAGGACAGCCATCTCAAAATTTCGGATTTTCTATCAGCTCAACAAACAACTCAGCAACATGCGCCTCAAATTCATCAAATACATTTTCTCCGTGCTGCTAATGAGCGCCCAATCCCTTTTCACTCTGTGAACTTTACCTCAAAAAGGCGAGAAAATGATGACTGAATTACCTGATCTAAACTTTCCTCACCCAGATGAACAACCACTTGAGCCCCTCTGCTCCTTGCCATCAGCCAAACCTTTCTATCTGGATGGGTCATATACAGTCGTGAGGGGAAGACAATCGATGTTGCATTGGGAAGATTTGCCGCACTATTCATCCCAAATCACTCAGTACTCAGCGCCTCTGAAGCGCAAAGCCAACGATCTAGATACCCAGCTCGCAACACAAAATCCTTATATAGTGGAGAAGAAAGAGAAACCAATTTCAAATCAAGGAATTGAAGACAGGTCTCGAAATAGTAGGGAAACGATGAACCAAGAATCCACTTCAAATCACTCCGGAGCTCTCAATACGCATCATACACCAACTGAAAACTTGAAAAATAAACTCAGTCCTCAAGATACAAATGCTTTTGCACTAGAATCAAGCCGGGATGTTTACAAAATTATATATGTCCATGACTGGAGTTTCCTTAAAAAAGTCCCTCACAAGAGCAGCAACGGTAATCTGAAGGATCACAAAAAAAATAAAACTGATTGGATGTTTGAATTTCTTAAAAATTTGAATGGTAAGAAAGGATACAGAATAAAGCAAAATGAAGTTGGTGATATTGTAGGTAACAAAGAAGATTCTATCATAAATTTTTACAAGAAATGCAAGAAGGACTTTGTCTACCCATCTGGATTAACCAGACATGAGAGACTATCAATCACTTTGGAGAACATACTTATGATTTCATGGGAAAAACTTCATCTCAGAAAATTAAAAAACTTATTTGGAGAAATTTCAGACAAGGTGGAAGACGGTGTAGAAGGTAGAATTCAAAAATTCTCAGGGAACATGGAAAGATTAAATTTCAAAGCTACACTACTAGTCAGATATGTAGAAAAAATAAACACAGTTACAACAGGCTTGGCTGTACTCTATCTTGCATTACTTCAGGAACATGAAGAAGGAAAGTTAACAATAAAATTCATTCAAGGTTTATTAGATTTTCTAAAAGGTTTCTGGGCAGATATTGAAAAAGGCCACAACATGGATCTTCAAAGAAGAAAATTTGCCAAGAAATTGCACATTTTATTGAGCTTTGAAGATCAATCTCTTGATTTTAGTCATAAGAATATGCCACACAATATCATGACAGTTGCATGGAATGTTGTTAAGTATTGGTTAGAAATAACAAGATATAAAAATTTAGAATCTTCTGGAAAAATATATTATCATAAATCAATGGCTGAGATAATCAACAAGATAATATTTTTCTCAGATTTTAAAGAACATTTCCAAGGAGGATTGATAAACAAACTCTAGCAATAGGAAGAAGTCAAAACAGTCTGATTTTTGAATGTGGTTCTAATTGCAATAGAGATTTGACTTAACAAGTTCATGTCCTTGCCTGAGGCTTTCTGTAGGGGCTCTTCAATAAAACCATATTTGTGTGTTAGTATTGAGCAATTTTCTTATTTTTATTAACCCTCTTTGACTGGATTTTATCTATATAACACACTTTTTTTTTATTTGTCCACATATTGTTTTTTAACAACTTGAACAAAAAAGAAAAAATACATTCAACTGTTCCTCAATTGGCAGCCTGAAAGCAGATGTTTATTTATGGAGCTCAATGTAAATTGTTGGACTCCAAAGAGACAATTAATTTTTTGGACTCTGGCCCTTTTTCCTTTTTTTTGTCCTCCATAAATCAATCCATCAGATCAATCCCTTTACTACTGTGATTGGTCTTGTATAAAGGCTTGAAATTTCTTAAAGAAAAAGAAAGTTTGGACAAAAAAGAATAGAAATACAATGCCTGGAATCAGAAGGGGACCATCAGATAAAAAAGTCTCTTTGGAAATATTGTTGTAGTTGATTTCTCCAGACAAATTGGTGACTGGCCGTCAAGTTCACTGTTTGGGTGTGACCTTCATCTGGTCAGTGGTGGTGCATTGGGAGATAAATTGCTTATGTGGAATAGTTGTTACATTCTTTGGATGTTGGAAGCAATTCATGTAAATAACCGCTGCTTAAAGAAAAACTTCAATCAAGTGGTGTGGAATTTGCTTTTGGGAAAATTGTTTGGGGTGTCACAGCAGTAGGGGTTATCAGTTTGCATGCCAACACAATTACAATATACTGTTATACCTCCCAGAGGATTTTCGGTTGGATTGGCTGGTTTCAATAAATAATGCAGGTGAATTTAGTGAGGCATGATGGCAGCCAGAAATGTAGCAGATACAATATGCTGTGTTTATCATGGAGAATTCCATGAAGCTGCATGGCCAAAATCCAAATTTTTTGCATCTCCTTGCAAATAAAAGTGAATTGTTCAGATAATTTTTTCCATTGGGGTTCAGATACATGGAGTGATACATGGCAGATACTGTGTTGTTTCGTTGTTTCTGCAATGGCAAGACCATGGATTGTGCCAGCCTCTGTGTAACTAAACTGAGTTATTCATTGGAGATGTTTGTTACTGTGAGTGTTGACCAAAGTTTTTGAGCATGGTGAGTGTGAGGTAGTGGGTGTTAATACCAGTCCTGTAATGAGGAGGTTTCACTCTATCAGTATGATCTTTACTGAGAAACTTGCTATCAACAGCGCATCTGGATCAACACTTGGTACTAATAGGCATCCAGGGTACAAAGACTCACCTGGGATGGGTTATTCCCAAAAGGGAATGGGCCAACAATAAGAGATAAGCTTAAAGAAATTAGTTAAAGGTTAGCAATGATTTTTAATGGAATATTCATCAAGCTCTTGAGTGTTGTGGTCAAGTAGAGCTGTTGACTGTAGCTTCCAAAAAGCGCTATTTTTGTTGAGTTACATGTAAAGTATCAAAATAAATTTTAACTGTGTTTAACTGGTGTCTGAATATTCTGGGGATTAATCAGTGAAGTTGGCACCAATTACATGTTCCAGAATATTGAAAGAGGGAAAGAATGAGCACACAGGAGTCAGAACCAAGGGATCTTTGGCCAGGGGAGTAAGCACATCAATTGAGTGAATGATCATTATTTGGATTGATCAGTAAGTGACATCATAATTGTGTACTAGCAAATCAATGCACTAGTTTCTCTTGATGTGTACACATTAATTGATCCTGAACTCTAATAATAATGTATTAATTCTATTAATAATTAATCAACAACATTTCATACTAGTACATGTTCATTTGTAATGATATTTGACGGTGAAAATACTGTAGAACAGGTGTAGCTTGTGGGACAGGTATTTCACAGATAAAGGGGTGAAAGATAAGTGATAATTACAGTGAGGTTGGAGCAACTCCCCCCCATGGGTGAGGGGTGGCTTGGGCTAGACCTTTTTGGCATCATTGGGGACACTCCAGTGATGTCATGATGTCTGATAGTACTCCTTAGAGCATTGGCCATCCATTTGGGGGAACAACTCCCAGTGGATGTCCATTGATGGTCCTTGATAAGCTACTCCCTTTAAGAAAGGCATTTGATCTTCCAAAAAAATACATTTTGAATGTTTTCAAATCTCTTCAAGAACACAATGAGTTAGCCAGACCATGACACTCAATGCAATGCAGTTGTTTCAGTGGATGATTGGTGTGAGGGTTTGTGTTGAGCTAGGGCTCCACCAAAACTTTCATTCTCATATAAAGAAGAATCTTTGTTCACTCACTTTCAGCCTGAAAATTTGGATGATTTCAGCTCAATTACCCAATCAGAGGTTTGCAAGGTTTCCCTTGAAGCATGGTCTCCCTTTCCCAAATAAAAATGAGTGGATGTCATCAAAGTAGACATTCAATTGGAAAGATACAACAGTTGATCATGTTGAATTCTTTCATTTGACAAAGCTGCAGGACCATACTTTAATATTTGCTCCAACACTCAAATATACCTAATTTATGTGATCAAGTGGAGAAGTGTTGTAAACTTTGTAAACAACTCTGACCGTTTTCGAGCTCGCGAGGTCCCGGACGGCCTTGAGACCGCGGTATCTGACCCAACCGACGTCCGGGTGACGCATTCTGTCCTATTTAGGCGGAGGCCCCTGACACTCGACACTCCACCCACCACCACCAACTTCTCCACATATCTCCAACGCTTCGAGCAGCCAAACCAAAACAGCCTCCGACCACCACCACCAACCAGTATGGCGAACCCTCAAGATGAAGAAGAAGCCATCTTTGGAACCGACAGGCCCGATCCCAACGAAGGTCCTTCAAAAGGAGCCCACCTTGAGGAAGAAGAAGATGAAGAGGATGAAGAAGAGGACGAAGAAGATGACGAGGAAGATGATGACGATGATGAGGTCAGGCGAGACCCTTTCCATTAAAGTTTATGTTTTTATTCTCACATGGAGATCGAAGAACCCGTACTGAGTTCCTACACGTCTCTCTACACAGGAAGAGGATGGCAGAGGCAAACCCAGGGTGCGAAAACACATTTACCACCTGTTTGAACGCACCAAAAGAGTTGAATTGTTCTCTTGATAGAAACGGCGCAAAAGGACGCGAAACAAATATATCGATGATCTTGCTGATGTCGACGATGAAGAGGAGGAGGAAGAAGAGGAAGAGGACGGCCTAGGCGGACCGGAAGATGTGCGTCGAGCAACCCCTCTCGATAGGATGAGAGTGTCCCTTAACACTCTCTTTTCTCCATCCAATACAGGACTTTATTGACCGGAACGAAATTCCAGAGGGCGATCGATCGTCCAGAAGAAACTTGTTGCGCGATATCACTGGAGATGACATAGATGCTGGGCACCGAGGACTCGATATGACTCGACAGGTCAGAGAGGATGCCGATCTTGGTCAAATTGCCCAAGAGTAAGCTCTGGTGTTCTCCCTGAACAAGTATGACTAAAACCGATCCTGAAACTTCCGAACCTCCTCGAATTCCAGTTTTCGAGAAAGATATGGGCGGCAGTCACGAGTGGCAGCGCGTGACTTGGGTGAGCATATCCCTAAAAACCTGCTGATGCCATGTGACCAAGATCCAAGTATATGGGCAGTCAAATGCAAGGTTAGCTATCATACCATCATCACCCACATCTCATTCAACAACTAACAACCTTACGATTTACGAAAATTGTCAGCCTGGGCGTGAAAAAGAGATCGTCGCAGCTTTGTTTCGAAAGTGTGAAGTTCATTACAAAACTCCACAACAATTAAATATCATATCGGCATTCTATCGCGATTCCTTAAAAGGTTACATCTATGTCGAAGCACGGCTGGAAAGCGATGTTCGGGAGGCCATTCAGGGGTTCGTGGGCGTTTACAAGTCCGAATTCCGAATGGTTCCTATGGATGAAATGCCAGACCTATTGCGAACTAAGAAGCGCGAGACACCGATCGTTCCAGGAGGATGGGTGAGAATCAAACGAGGGAAATATAATGGAGATTTGGCTCAAGTCACCGAAGTCCTTGAAAACGGAGACGAAGTTGGACTGCGGTTCGTCCCTCGAATCGATTTAAATCCTAAAGAAGATGGGGTTAAGGTTGGCCCGGACGGCAAGAAGCGTAAAAAGGGTAATACAACCAGCGGCGGGATCGCTTTTAGGCCACCACAGAAACTGTTCAATGCCGAAGAAGTCAAGAAAGCTTACAAGCCTGGCGATGTCACTCGATCTCAGCGAGGTGGATACAGTTTTCATGGTGATTTATTCAGAGAGGGATACATCGAGAAAGATTTGAAGATCTCCGCATTGGAAATTGTAGATGTCAATCCCAGGATTGACGAGATAGCCAAGTTTCTTGGTGATCCCTCAGACAGTGATCCTAGTCGAACCTTAAATTTATCTCAGATTGCCGAATTAACCAAGAAGGCTGGAACGGCTGTCTTACAACCCGGTGATCATATCGAGGTTTTCGAAGGTGATCAGAAGGGTATTCAAGGAACGGTGGAGTCGATCGAGAAGGAAAACGTCAATATCCTTCCTGATCCGCTAGCTCATCCTGATCTCAAGGGTGCTAAGATCGAGATCCCGGCTAGTTCGCTTCGTAAAAGCTTCAAACCAGGAGACCACGTCAAAGTCATGGCCGGTCAGAATACCGATGAAACTGGTTTGGTCATTCGTGTCCGAGAGGATGTGGTCACCTTCCTCAGCGATCTTAGTTGTAAGGAGGTGGAGTCATTTGCAAGAGATCTTCGCGTGGCAGCTGAAGTCGGTAGCAGCGCCAACACATTTGGTCAATTCGAATTATATGACTTAGTACAACTAGAGTTCGTCCACTTCTCCAGGCTTGTTTCCAAAAGCTTAATCTGATCTCTTGTTTCTGAATGTAGTCCGCAAACCACTGGAGTAATCTTTAAAATCGAGCGTAATACCTTCAAAGTCATCGACCAGAACGGCAATGTTCGTAGTGTCAAGCCAAATCAAATTAGCGCCAAGAAGGACTCTAAGTATGCCATTGCCACCGATGCTGATGGCTATGAGATTGCAGTGAATGATCAGATGAAAGAGAAGTCTGTTGGGGTAAGTTGATCACTCTAATTCGATTTTTCTCAATCTTGAATAACTTTTTTTTTGCCTTTTTAGGGACGAACTGACGGACGGGCAGGTCGAGTCCTGCATATCTATCGATCCATGTACGCCTTTCTTCACAGTCACGACACGACCGAGAACGGCGGAGTGTTTGTGACGAACGCTCGCAACCTAGTATCGGTAGCCCCCAAGGGATCCAAGAAGGATTCAGGCGGATTAGACTTAACCAAGATGAATCCTGAAATGGCTAACCGACCCCCGGTTGGTGGGGCGATGGTCGCAGCTGGCCTGGGTCAACGATTCAAGAGGGATGAAGATATCGGCAAGCTTTGCTACATCATCAAAGGGCCTAATAAGGGCCTTCAAGGAATCATCAAGGATATCAATGGATTGCTCGCCCGAGTAGAATTGCACACCAACAACAAAACGCTCACGATCGAAAAGACAAAACTTGGTGCTAAAGGGTCAGTCCATCAATGAATCATTTCTCTCTTCCCTTGCGAATTGATTAGATTTATCGATCTGTTTTCTGCAGCCGCGATGGTAAAGTCCACCCCTTAGCAGATTTGGCGCGGGAGAATTTCAGTAGCTCCAGCCGACCAGGTGGGTTTGGTTCCAGCGGCGGCAACAGGTCTTCCTATGGAGGACCCACCGGAAGCAATTCTGTTCGACATGGTGGCCAATCTGTTCACAGTGGTATCGGTGGTGCGACTCCAGCCTGGGGGGCCAGTGGAGGTCGAACTTCAAACCCATACGCAGATGGATCTCGTACCTCATACCCAAGCGATGGTGGTCGAACCTCAAACCCGTACACGGATGGCGGTCGGACTCCAGCCTACAGCACTTCAGGAGCCTGGGATCCAGGCTCAAAGACGGCCATCGCGTCCGGTTATGGGTCGACTAATGGGTGGGACGCAGCCGAACAGTCGTACAACAGTTCTGCTCAAACCCCCGCTCAGCGAACTGATATTGGCACTCCTCACGATCCTTGGGGAAGCCGCACGCCAGCCCAAGCACCCACCCCAAGAGTCGATAGGCACGCGCCTACCCCTGGCACGTCATCCAATCTCACCAGAGGCGACCGATCTGAGAGACGCGAAGAGGGATCGATGTCCAGTTGGGGAAACCCCGCAGGAGTCACGCCCTTTGCTGCTGCCCCTACGCCTACGGCTTACGGTGGACGAGGTGGGAATATAGCACCGACGCCCAACGCACCAACTCCTGGAGGTTTGACCCCATATGGTGCGGCCCCAACTCCTGCGCCATATGGTGCCGCCCCGACACCTGTGGGATATGGAAATGCACCAACCCCAGCGGCGTACTCGGCACCGACTCCTGTGGCATACGGCTCTGCTCCTACCCCCGCGGCTTATGGTTCCGCACCTACACCAGCGGCATACGGCTCGGCGCCTACGCCCTATTCATCGAATCCCAACTTCACCGCGGCGAGTCCAGCTGGGCCTTATAACCATGGCACCAATGCCGCAACGCCTTATACTGCAGCCACGCCAGGAGGGGGATTAGTCAACCAACATCCCTCAGCACTCATGGGGATCTCACACATGGGTTTGCCCGAAAACTGGCCGGTCCCTGGGATCGAGGTGGCGATCATTCGACCAAGAGAAGGGCCATCCTTCAACGGCTCTCGAAACGACGACGAACATGTGGTGGTTCTTGGGTCGGCAGGGACGCACCGGAACGGCCCCTATAACGTCAAATGCTTGAGCTCTAATGCGCGCATCCCCCCCGTGCCGATCGAGTTCCTCGAGCCCGTCCCGCCCCGCGCTCCTGGTGATCCCGTCGTCATCCTTCAAGGTATCTATCGCACTAAGCGGGCTACTACTATTAGTAGAGATGCCTCAGATTGGATGGTTCAGTTGGAAACTGGAGAACAAACTATCGTCGAATCTTCTCATCTTGCTATTTATAAAGGCTGTTGATCTCCTATCCCTTTGAGTCAATACACACACACACACATACATATATATACATACATATACACACATATTTATATGTATCTATCTTCAATCCTGTACAAATGTATCCCACTTGTTTTTTTCTCTCTTTTTTTATAAAAAAACAAGAAAATGTGATTTCTTTTGTTTCCTTTTTTTGAAATAGGATTGTTCATGTCTAGCATTTTAGCTAGCTGGACAATCAGCCACCAGCTTGGCCAGTAAAATTTATGAAAGAAAAAAAATTGGGCACATCAGCTTTCCTTTTGGACAAGGCTGATCAGCAGACCGGCTAAAAAGCCAGATGTGAACTGTCCTAATAGGATGGTTCACGTCTGAACTTTGGAGCAAGTTTTATAGCATTTATCATTAAAATTTTCCAAGTTTGTCAAAAATCTCAAATTCCTCCAAGCCTGATGATTCATGAGATTTGACAAAATTTGTAAAATTTTATCCATAAAAGTGCTAAAACCTGCCTTGAACTTCAGACGTGAACCGGCCTAATAGGTGCATTTAGAGCTAGATGAAACAGGAGCCATCTATCACAAAAAATGCAACAATGGAATCCGGTATACTTAAGCAGGCCCCAAACTATGAAATTAGAGAAGGAATGAAATGAACTGTAACATATATTATTGAAGATCTGTTGGAATGATAGATGATAGGTTTGAAAAATCAGGCCAACTGATTTACCTGCACAACTTGTGTAGTGCAATTAAATTTGTACATATATATATGCACTAACCCTGGACCATTTCTAATCATATTTTCTTCTCAAGAAAGTCTGGAGCCATTTTAAAGGTTGAGAGGAAACTTTCAACTCCTTATGTATGATGTAAAAAAATCAGCCAAACATTGGAGGACTTCCCGTGGGTTTTACAGGCCTTGTAAAGCTAGATTTACAGGCTGTAAAGCTAATTTTTTGCTGGGAAAACGGTTTCACGAGCTTGTAAAAATAGCTTTACAGGGGGCTGTAAATTTGACGGGAAGACTTCCATTCTCATTGGCTGAATCTTTGTCTTGCTTATAATGTCTGTCTCCTTTTGACTTTCAAAAAAAAAGAGTTCATTAATGATGAGACCATGTTACATTCATATAACAATGATTGAAAGAAATATGCCAATCTTTGCTCCTACATCATGTGTCAGCAGCTCGGAACCCCGATTACAAAACTGCATACTCCGGGGGGGGGGCTGCGAGCTCGGAGATACCCGAGATCGGGGGCCAGCTGAAGTAAGTCCTCGTCAAACTCGAACAGGACGACGACCGAGCCAACTCAGACCAAACCACTAAAGCTACTTGTTCCACATCCATACAACACCCAAACACGATGCCGAAAGCTGAAAAGGGTACACCCAAGGCCATAGCCAATGCTATGAAATCTAAAGGCTTGCAACGATTGCGTTGGTACTGTCAAGTATGTGAAAAACAGGTGTGTATCCTTCTCAGCTTGTGTTTACGCCGTTCCTGGTTAATCCTGACTTTGGTTTTTGTTTTCTTGCTTTGGTTGGTTCACAGTGTCGAGATGAGAACGGATTCAGTTAAGCATTTGTTTTCTTATCTCTGGAAATCGAGCGTCTTTCTCAGACAGGTACCACTCATGCTTATATTGTTTCGAGTTTGATATTTTCAATTCTGATCGGCGTCAATCACAGAATGCCATACGATGAGTGAAGGTCATGTTCGTCAAATGTTGGTCGTGGGCGAAAACGCTGGAAAATACATTAACGATTATAGCGATAACTTTAAAAAAGATTTCTTGGCTCTATTGAGTAGAAGGTTCGTCATTTTTTTCGTCTCGTTGGTTTGTTTTATCTCTTAATTCTCATATCACGTTTGAAAACTTTGTACACGTTCGATAGATGGGGAACCAAGCGAGTACTAGCGAATATGGTTTATCAAGAGTACATTGCAGACAAGAATCATCTCCACATGAATGCGACTCAATGGGTTACCTTGACGGAGTTTGTCAAACAGATGGGTAGGGAAGGAGTACTACATGTTGATGAGACCGAGAAAGGATTGCACATGGCATGGGTTGACAACTCGCCCCAAGCACTGGCTCGACAAGCCGCCCATCAAGCCAAAGAACGCTCCGAGCTTGATGATGAACAACGGATGCGAAGGCTGATTGAGGAGCAGATCCAAAAGGCCAATCTAGAGCAAGCCGCGCGCATGGGCACATCCTCTCAGACAGACGAATCCAAAGCGGCAGCTGCTATACCTGATCAAGAGCGGGTCCTGAAACGCGAAGAGACCGACGGACCTCTCAAGCTCAACTTCGGCATCTCGACCAGTGCGACCCCTGTCGCCAGTTCTACATCAGCAACCTCATCCAATCCCTCAGTTACAACCAGCAAGAAGATGTCGACAAATCCACTCAAAGGTCCATCAACCAATCCGCTCAAGAAGTCCAATCCGCTCAAACGACCCTCTTCCACCAATCCACTCAAGTCTCAACCCAGCAAAGCGACCGAGAAAGGCTCGTCGACAATACCCAAGTCGAATCCGAGCAAGATGAGCGCCCTGGAATCGATCATTGCTGAGGATGAAGCCCGGAAGCGGAGGAAAGATGAACGCACTTGGAGCGGCGCCAATGGGCATGGTGCCTCGGGACTGCAGATCAAACGATCCACTTGATTTTATTCATTTATTTTCAGTCTTCCCTCGCCCCGAAATCCGCGCTTGTTACTTTCTGCTCTTCTTGTTCCCAGTTCTTATCGATCATCCCATTCCTGCTTACCCCGCTGTACATCATTGAATCCTGTTGTATGTTCATACTGAGTTCTAGCTCCAAAAAGCCCGTTATAGTAGCCTTTCAAGCACGATTTCAGTACATGCCATGAAATACTCTGCGTCATTAGGTTGGCTCGAGTGGATGAGCATAGCATAGATGTGTTTTGGGCTTTCTTCATTCATGATGTGAGTCATCACAGTGGGCAACGCAAGACATGGATTGAGTGTCCCAACCTCCATCCCCAGGTGGAGATGGTCAGGATGGGCGTCAGATGTATGCCTCAATCCGTAATGGGTCCGTATCTTTCTTCTTGATTTACGTTGGGCGATACCTTATTTGTGTACTGAGGTTTGGAGTTATATGTGCGCCGATGATTGGCCACGCTTGTTCTGGTTCATCTCGGGACTGCCGGAACGTGTGTGAACCTGGGGAGCCTCCGAAGTTTGATGATTTTTTTTATAAATTTTTATTGCGCGGGTGATATCTATAACAAGAGTTTGAATCTCCAGCCCACTCCGCCAGACTCCGCCCACTTTCTCCCTCACTCTTCCGAAATGACTCTCGTCAAACTGCCCGGTTCAACAGCAGGCTCCGAGTCGAATCGTCGCGCCCGGGTAGCCTTTCTCGGTCCGATTGGAACGTATTCTCACGAGGTTCGTCTTTAATGCTCTTGCTGGCTTGTATATCGATCCAGCCCAACTAAATACGCGTACTGACGAAGTCCTTTATCAAATCATTGTTGTCAACACATCCATGAATGTGGAATCCAATCGGAAACATGAACACTACGTACAATAGGTCACGCGGAAGCGCTTTGATGGGCCAGCGTACGCGCTTGTACCCTACGAGACAATCCACGATGCCGTCCATGCTCTCCTTCCAAGCCCCGACGACCACACTCGGGCATCCTGGGCGGTCGTTCCGATCGAAAACTCTTACTTCGGCCCGGTAGTCGAGACTCGGCAAGTATTATCTGAACCCCAAGTCATCCGATATACACATACGCTCGACGAACGCATTCACCTCAAGGTCCAGCATTGTCTCATCGGCCGTAAACCGTCCCACATATCACCCTCATCATCATCATCATCATCATCTCCTGGAACCCTTCCTCCTATCCGCATAATCTACAGCCATGCTCAGGTAATCTTCTCTCAATTTTTTTGTATGGCAGTCTCAGGTTTGGATCAGAATCAGACAAGCACTGTGCTTCTAAAAGTGCAGATTCGTGCCAACATCCTTCCAAGAAAACAGCCAGCCGAAAAAAAAAAAAGAAGAGGGGCATCGTTTGCTGGAAACAGAGCTTTAGACAGACTTGTTTTTTTGACCGTTCTATGGCTTGATCTTACACACTCTAGGCTCTAGGACAATGTCAACAGTACCTCGCCACGCATTACCCAGACGTGGAAACCCGGGCCACGTCGTCAACCGCCGAGGCGGCTACCCTCGTCGCTAACGATTCCTCACGGTCTTCTCTCGCTATCTGCGCCGCCTCCTGTGTCGAATACTTCCCTCTGCTTGAGGTCTTGGATGCCAATATACAAGATGCTGGTCAAGGTACAAAAAATCTTTGTCTCTGATCGGTATTCTCTATCTCTGATAATCATTTAATTGGTGGTCCTTTTTTGGTTTTTTTTTTGAAATGCGTTGTTCTTATCTTTTTCCAGATAACATCACTACATTCATTGTCCTAGGTAGCAAGGATTGACGGACCGATATCACTAGATAACTAAGTCATGTTTGTTGAAATACCAAATCCTTGTTATGAAGTTATGAAAAAAAAAAAAAACATTTATCAGACATTCAACCCGATTCTGCAGGGTGATTTTTCTTTTCTTTTTTTCTTATGTTTTAGTCAACACAAGATCAGATGATTATACTGACCACTTCGATTTATTAGACTTGCAGCTATATTGAATCATTCGACTGAGCAATTGTTCAAACAGCATTCCCCCGTGACGGGCTCCTATGGGCTCAAATTACAAACCATGCAAATCTAGATTCGTGTGATCTATCCATACATTACGTTCACAATACCTTCTTCTTGAAAAAAAAAAAGTTAAAACAAAACACTTCACAGGCAATTATGTCAGAGTTCGGGAAAAGATAAAGGATTGGAATTCTGTTTAAAGCGCTACTTGGGAGACAGTCTCTTCAAAACAAAAGATCTACATGCCGGTAAAAATCTTAGGATGCTGTTGCCATTCTTTATTCTCTTGAAGTGTCAGCTGGACATATGTTTTTTTTTCTTTGGGAAAGTCATAAAAGGACAAAATGTTGCAGGTCTTCATGGTCTTCATTGACAGGCTTCTAGAATCCAAGAAAGCAGCCAAGAGAGTTCTCAAAAAGGAAGAGGGCACTGGATCTTGAAGCCTCAGCTATCTTCTGCCCAATCAACTATTTGTCAGATCCCCGAGGTTTAGTTCTTTGGATGGTCTTACCACCGTTCTTCACTCGGAGCTCATGAAGTTGCAATGCTTAATTAACAATCAAACAATTGGTGCAAAATGAATTAACAACACATATGAGAATGAAACACCGGGGTTTTTTTTTCTCATGAAAATGGGGTCTTCTTGATTTTGGTCTCAAGATTTACGTCTCTTTTTCAAAAGCTTTTTTTCCCTTCACTTGGAAACGGCCAAAAAAACGCGACAATTAGGCACTGTGCTAACTTCACTAAAGTCACTCTGAATCCGGAGGGGGACGCTGTCCCGCACGGAGGGACTTGCATAGCTAAGTTAGGGTACTGTGGTAACTTCTGACGATCACAATGTGCAGCTGGGCCGTGAAGGCAAACACATAAACAGTAAAACAGTCTAAATCCTCCTGTTTTGAATTCCCATGTCTGGGAACCAACGGTGGGGTCTTTTACGACCCGGGGTACATAAATGTGTACGACTTGGATGTAGGCGGGGGTAAACTTGAGCAATATTACGGATGAAGGGGGAAAAAAAAACGTCAACCGACACACCATCGATGATCCAGATTTACAAATCTTGGAGGCTTGTCCTTGGTCAGGCATCTCCTAGAGGTGGGCGCGGCCGGGTCACCTCAGCCGCCATAAGGTAAGGTGGGCCTGTGTCTGGCGAGCCAAATGACTCGGCCAAACTTTATCTAGCGAGCTTCACCAGGAGGGAATCTAGCAGGCCGCGGTATGAGAGAATCTTGGGTTGAGGTCAAATGGTATGACGACTGAGTTTACATGCCGCGGAGGACTTAATGCTCCACTAGCCAAGATTAATGGGACTCATACATATTTACAATTGTACATGCCCAACCCTACCTGAGCTTCATCCGATACTATTGACGTGGATTGACTTATTTTTTGGAACTAGGCTACCGATCAGGATCCCCAAACAAGTTGTTTGGAAGATTTTCCTTGAGTGAACTGGTGAAATTTTCCAGGTTTCTGAAAGGGACTAACCTGTCCCATGCAATGAGTACCCAAGACTAGGAAGTTCGAACCGTACCCGTTCACGCCTGTCTATGTAATACTCTACCTGGCGGAGCCACTTGGTCAAGTCAGCGATGGTCAATACACTTGCGAAATGTGAGGCATGGCTCAAAACTAGGTTAGAAACAGACTAGAGGAAAACTAGAAACAATTCTCAAAGGGATAATACTCGTTGGTCCCTGTGGATTACTTCTCCCATTCGTATTGCAAGAACGGGTTAACAGTCAGCAGTTGTGGTATGCTCACAGCTGAGGTTACCGAGGGGAAGCAGGTTGACGTGCAAATTGCTTCTGTTTTGGCCCACGATTGCGCACTGGGGCGACAATTAAATCTCCTATCTTTGTTACATTTGCCTAGGACTCTAGAAGCGTACAATGTGTTGAATGGAACACCCATATCTACGAATGTTGTCGAAAGACTCTGTGCCTCATCCCCTTGCCATTGAATCTTCAGGTATTTATCTAGTACTACTCTTCTCGATCGTTCCCTTGTAGAAATCTCCTTCATATTCACTCGGGAGGTTTTGAATTCAAAGGCCGTCTTGAGAAACGCATTCATGTATTGCCTCTCATACTTCCTCTCCTACTGCCATCATTTTCTTCAATTTCTTGATACTGTGGCTTTAATCGGACGTCTATAAATTGTCTACATTTTCATGTCCGCAGAATCGTATCGCTCTCATCTTCTTTACTTTCTACCTTGTTCGATTCTGGCGGAGATCCCTCATGTCACCAGTTCTTTTTTCTTTTCTCTGGGTGCTTTGGCCGAGATGGCTTTGGGTCTTCCGGTTCACTTTTAGTACGTGGTGCTCACTGCTGTCCGAATAGAGCTTGCACCTCCGCTGCTGAAGTGAATATACTTAGACAAGCAGTACACAAGAAGATGAAGTCTTCCACCTCTCTACAAGCTCTTGATTGGGCTTTACTGGCTTGTGCATTCGTGGGTTCTACTGGATCCTGTGCTTATAGAGC